TTTCATCTAACAATGTGCAGGAATGAAAGTGACTTTAACTTGCTACACACAGACACACGTGCTCACACTGTCATACGCTTGCCTGTAATGTCACTGCGCCTAAGCCAGCAGCACCTTCCTCCTGTTAGGTAACAGAGGGGTTTGCACCCTCAGCACTGGGCACCTGTACATGTCCTTGTAGGAAGAGAAGCACAGGGGGATGCTAAGAAAAGACGCTGACGTCAGAACAGCAGCCATTTACCTCCCTCTCTCTCCTGCTCACACACACACTTTCTATAGATCTCTCCCCGTCTTTACTCTCCTTCAGTCCCTCCTTGCGAGGACAGTCCCTCTACCTGATGCCAACACTTCAGTTGGGACCACTTAAGGAAATAAGCTGCTGCCATCTTTCCACTGCTCTTTGCTGCCACGATCACACGCTGCAACCTGACCAGAGACGCAGCTCTGTGAGAACACCCACCTTAAGGATTACATTACCCCTTCCATATCCCCCATTAAGTGATAGGAACAAACCAACATTTGGTGTGTTTATCCATAACCAAACTTTAATATATTATGAGTTCAGTTTTAATAGATGCCTAAAATTACCTTAAGAGTTAGAAAGACAACTTGTAGTCTAAAGCTAACTGGTATAGCATAAATAAACCTTACCAAACCTTAACCATAATGGCAATTGTTTTATTCTTGAAACCATGTTGTCAGATTAGTGCCGTTCTAGCGGGCATGAACTGACGATATATTTTATCACTTAATATGAGGGACTTGTTGTCTTCAAGGTCAGGTAATAAAAGCTCTTATCGTATCAATTGATATTGCTTGAGTGGTGCATATTCCCAAACACATGGAAGAAATTAGATGACACACACTCACCCTGGAGTTTTCAAGTTCCTTAAGACCCCTACACATTTTACCTTTTTGGTTATCTTATATATTGTCCATTGTGCATGATCATCAGCTGATTTTGCATCTACTTACAATGTGACAGAGTGAGGAACAGCCAGTGGCCAGCTGAGCCACAAAGTCACAAAGTCTAGTTCTGGTTCATATTCTTCCTGTGTGATAAGTGCTACAATACATACAAATGCAAACCAAGTTTGTAATGAAAGCTTATTTGCCGAAGAAATAAACTGGTAAACTGATGCCATAGTATTGAGATTTTTGGGTATAAGTTGCCTGTGAGTTAATCCGTTCACTCAATGTTCACTCATCTGAGTCACACTGAAAACAAAGGATATCAAACCTCCGGAGAAACCATCAGCAGTGTCCTTGAGCAAGAAACTGACCTACCTATCTGTTCCTGGAAAGTAGTCTGCTTTGGTCCCACATGGACCAAGTTTGAAATTGCTCAGGTTACTGCAAGTCAGTAAAACTAGTATGATTTCAAATATACTGGTAACACATGCCATTTAGTTTGGATTGCAGCAGCACCCCTCAAGCTACCTCCAGGTAAAATCTCATTTGTGTCTATTTTACAACCACACTGGCAGCATTGCCAAATGGTGTTTGCCAACACATTATGATTATTCACCAATTTTCCCCTGTTGGTCAGCCTTTATAGTCATCTTTGACAAAAATATATATTTTTCTTTCGCTTACTTTATATATGATTTTGTTGTATATCTGATGCAATGTATATCTGGTAATTTAGTTTTTGCTTCTAGACTCAAATCTTGTTACAGTTCTGAAGTCATTATTTATAGCAGCTTCAAGGGACTTTCATGTTGTGTTGATTCTGGCGGCCCCTGTGGACACAAACATTACTGACATTAGCGCCACTGCTTGCTGTTTGTGCACATCAATTTCAAATGTGTCTTCCTCACCTTGTTAAGTTGTTAACAGGCCATATGGCCCACCTGCTATCATTATAGCCTTGGAGTTAAATCACCTCTACAGTATAACAGTAGACTCACTTTAACTCAATAGACCTTATCTTTTCTATACTTTTTCACTCATTTCAAGAACACTGATTCTGTGGCTCCATGTTTTAATAATCTGTCTTATTAAGATGAAAATATTTTGAAATGCAGCTCACCTCCAGTAACACACAGTGGAGACATGAGAAAAGTGAATTGCTTTTGTCCCGTGAGGTTGGCCTTAAAATTGAATTGCACCTCCAAGGACAAATGGGCCAAATATTCATGAATGAATCTGATGATGTCAGCAACTCTTTGGTGGAGCACTGTTTTAGGATGGCGGCATGCATAAGCATGTGTGTGTGTGTGTGAGTGTGTGTGTGAGTGTATGTGACATTGCGGAGGTGCCACTGAGCTGAGTTGAATGGGTTCAGTTTGGCATCGGGGGGGACTTCAGTAAGGTAATGGGCTGAAACTCATTTTATTATCTCTATATCACACTCTTGACACTTTTCTTTCACTTTTCCTCCTCTTCCAACAGTTTTCCCTCTGCTGGATTTAAATCCTCACCGGAGAGCAGCGACAGTCCTGTCCTTCTTTCTCCTTCTGACTGTCTCTACTCCTCTATTATTCACATATTTTCCCAGTCATTTTTTTCAGTGCAATTTCCACTTTAATTTCTCAACTCATTTCACCCGAGAAGCTCCTTCATCTTCATTTGCATGACTCAACCATAAATATTCTTCTGCCCAACACACACTGGCACAAACATACAGTGTAATTAAACAGTTCCAGGGGCAGTTTGGGGGTTAGCTTTGAGAGGAGGCGAGGAAAAAGTGAGCGATAACACCACTTCAAAGCTGCTGCAGACTCGTTCATTCCCCTGCAGCTTCAGATGGATTAAGGCCACTTCAGGCCTGTTTGTACCCCATCAGCTCCCCTTCAGTTCCAGAACAAAAAACTCTGTTGGCCAAACGTTTCCTTTGAAATTCTCAACACACTATGGAAAACAGCCCATCAAGAAGAATAAGTGGTCACTACAAATTCACACTGAGTAATGGGAATTTACTGTACTTAGGAATATAGAAGTAATATAACATATTGATTAGTCCAATTTGATGTTATTGTGTCAAATCTTTTTCTGTAATCCATTCTGTATTTCCAGCTCAGTTAATCTCAACCAAATCTTGCATGGACCAAAGGAATTATTGTTAATGTGGACATACGACAATCCGCTACAACCCACACTGTTGGCAAAAAAAGGTCACATACACAATAACACATATAACATTTGGGAGGATCTACTGGCAGAAATGGAATATAATATGCATAACTATGTTTTTATTTGTGAATAATCACCTGACTATAGTCATGTTTTTCTGCTTGGAATGAGCCTCCAGCAAAGTCTGTCATGTTGAACCACCATGTTTCTACAGTAGCCCAGAAGGGACAAACCAAGATTTGGCTCTAGACAAGGGTGTTTATTAATTATTGTTATGTCAAACCATTATTTAAGTTTTTGTCTTTGTGTAAAACAAAACGTTCCACACCAACTAGCTAATATTTATTAGTCTACTGTAAGTTCAGGCTTAAATAACTAAGCCTGTGAGATATTTAGTTTTATGTATGTGTTACTGTAAGAGTTAAAGGACCAGTGTGTAGGATTTAGTGGCATCTAGCAGTGACCTAGGAATGAGATCGGGCTGTGAAGTGTGAAGGACAAACTACGGTGGCCGTAAAACCAGAGAAAAATGCAAAAGGCCCTATCTATGGCCAGTGTTTAGTTTGTCTGTTATACACTAATGAACACATACATATGAATTATTCGGTGTAGGTTGAGGTTATTACAAAATCAGTCCACTACAACACCAATAACAACAATAAAATACATTCTCAACATACAAACAAGTAAGAAGGTATCAACAAAAACTGTACATTAATAAGTAGGATAATTAGTAATTATTGCAGTTCCATTTGCAGACCACATACAAGATTAGAATATAAACTGGGCAATACAGCAACAATACATGTTATATTCCTCAAAAGCTCTCCATGATAAATGGCTCAATGAATTGAGTGAGTTTGTCCAGAGGTCAAACAACAGTCCTCCTCACCTCTTCAGTTGTTTATAAGGTGTTCCTCTCATCCCCACATCAAATCTGCATACACTTTCTTATCATTGCACCAAATACATTAACCTCTAATGGAAGTTCTCCAAAACATATAAATCTCTCACATCATGGCCCATGGAAATAACAGATGATACCAACAATAGGTGAAAAAGCAAAGTCATTTTTGCAGGCTGGAACTGCTGAAACCAGAGGTCAGTGGAGGAGATTTCACTCATCTGAACCCGAGTTGAGTGATAAAACTGTCAGTAGCAGAGCAAAGAGATATGACTGTTGTCGTCTGAAATCGTTCTCATAACCTTCAGCTAAAGACAGTGGAGAGCAAAGAGGAGGAGAGAAAGAGAGTGGCACCTCTGCCTCTTCTCATTGAAATGAGAGACATTAAGAGGCTTCTGTTAGGAATGTTAATCGCATATCGATCTGTGTAAACTTTGGCCAACACTATCCCTGGATTCCTACGTGTGGCCAATGAATGTCATTCTTCCAGACTGCAGGAGAAACAGTGGCCGCATTCTGTCGTTAATAGGGTGCGCATGTACTATAGGGCCCCTATTTCCTCTTTATTGACTGGTCATAATGATTCTATCTCCTTTTAATGCACCATATAGGACCCACATTTCCCTGTTTGGATCAGAGATAAAACACTTGTTTCATTTTATTAACCGTATGGGACCCATGGGTCATTCCATTACAAATATGATCTTTGTATTATACTATGAATGGTAGTGGACTGCACTTATATAGCACCTTTCTAGTCTTATGACCACTCAAAGCACTTTACACTACATGTGACACTCACACAAATTCATACACTGATGGCAGGGCAAGGTGCAGACTGCTCATCAGAAACAGAAACAGAAATCCCATTCACACACATTCATTAACTAATTATTAATTAATGGCACAGCATCAGAAGCAATTTGGGGTTCAGTATCTTGCATAATAACACCTAGGTATGCAGAGGGATCGAACCACCAACCATTTGTTTAGTGGATGACTTATCTGGGTTCCACCTGTATGTACCACAGCTGCCCTATATAGACCACACTCAGGACTGATTTCCTGTATAGGTAAACACTTGTTTTTTTCTTTATAGAGCTGATATTTCATGTTTTATCGAACAGATACAGGGCCACTGATTCACACAGACACGTCAGGAATCCAGTTAGAAAATGATTTATTGTTGGGACCATATACTGTTGCAGGGCTTTCCTCAGGTGGTGCGACATCATTCTGCTTCCTAAATAAGATGCCAATGCATATTTGTAGTTTTACCACACAACAAAGGTTGGGGAAGCAATTCTATTTTAAATTTATCTTTGCTTTTTTGCCTTTATTGGACAGGACAGCTGAAGACAGACAGGAAAAGGGGAGAGAGAGAGCAGATGGCACACAGCAAAGGGCCACAGGTCAGACTCAAACCCACTGCAGCAAGGACTCAGCCCCGGCACATGGGGCACCACCAGGTGAGCTACCAGGGTGCCCTGTAGGTTAAATGACTACTTGGTTAAGGTTGGGGGTTACAATAATAAACACGTGGTTAAGGTTATGGAAAGTTCTATGTTTTATTGACCCTTCCATCAAGTTATATTGTATTTAAGCTGTAAATTAATTGAATTGGCCAACAGAGTCAGCCTAGGCTTACATAACATCTAAGGCTTCATGAAATGATTAATTGACTAATCAATGTATCGATGTATGTCGAACAACTAATCAATGAATCAACTCAACATGTTTGTATTTTGTAAGTACATTGATACGGTGATGTTTCTGAAGGTTTGGCCAATACTTCTAAGACTACTGCAGGTGTGTGTGTGTGAGTGTGTGTGTGTGTGTATGAGAGAGAGAGAGAGAGAGAGAGAGAGAGAGAGAGAGAGAGAGAGTCATTAGTTGTGGGTGCACGTTGCACTCTGCAGCACTTGCGCACGCCTTTTACGCTCCGCTCACCTCGCCGTGTAGTAAAGCCTATCCACGCCGCCGCTCCGTCACCAGTCCGCCGGTGGTCTGAGGGACGTCGCTGGCTCCACCGACGAGCACGGCATCGAACACCACCACCACCACCACCCCCCTCCCCTGTCCTCCTCCTCCTCCTCCTCCTCTGGCTGTTGTTGCGCTTCTGCTGCTGCAGCGTCCAAGTTCAGGTGAGCCTCCTCACCCGGCACAACAAGTCCCCCTCTCCGGCTCCATCCCGTTAAATGGGATGTTATAAATGGGCCGCGCAGGATGTGAAGCCTCGCTAGAAGAAGCAGGAGGATGGCTAAACCAGGCTTGTCTGCGGCGGTGCTGCTGCTCCTGCTGGGCTTCCTGTCGGTGTCCTCCGTTAATGCCGGTGAGTTTTACCACAGGTTGACGGGCGATCATCACGAGTAAACAGGGGGATGATGCACTGGCTGAACGAACAACACGCGCTGCTGTGTTAGTATGTGTGGACCAGAGCTGTCTTGTGTGATGCAGTACATTACAGTGTAGCGGATCCCTTTGGATAAGCACCTGGCATGACACATTGTTATGGATGTGCCAGCATCAACATTTGCATCGGCCAGGTAGGAGCAATAAGCTTTGTAATCCCAAAAATGGCTGACACAAGTTAGTCTCACACTGTGTCTAGACTTAGGCAGATGTGGTGCTTTAGATATTTCTAGAAACAAGTGTTATTTTGAAACAAGAAAGATCATCTTTGTTGTACTTGCTGGTTTAAAAAAAAGTTATTGAATTTAAGGGGAATACACTGGCAAAAACTGCATTTAATGTATGAAAATAAGGTTTTAAAACTCCATCAAAGATTAAATAAGAGTTAGAAACAGCTGAGAGAGCTGAAACGAGTAGTTGATTACTCCATTAGTCAATCTTGGTCAGAAAATTACTCTGCAATATTTTGGTAATGGATTCATTCTAATTCTAACAAAAACAAATTGCTGGTTACAGCTTGACAAATGTGAGGATTTCCTGCATTTATTTGTCTTATATGATATATTAGAATATCTTTGGCTTTTGGACTGTTGGTTAGACAAAACAAAACATTTGAAGACGTCTACTACGACTTTTTCTGGCATTTTATTGACAAACCGATTTCTCGATTAATCATGACAGTAATGGCTAGATTACTTTAATCGATAGCGAAAAGAAGTGTTTGCAAACGACAGGGGAGCCGGGGCAGCTTGGCTCCTCTTAATAAGACATGAGCTCACCTGAAAACATGATTTGTGAAATGTATCTAAAATATTGATATTATGCTGTTTCTACCATGCATTTCTATTTTTCTGTATCGTTATAATTATGGATCGTGCATAAAATTTATATATGTATTTCATTAACTGATTATTATATATATATTTATATTGTATAAGGCAAGTAAGCCATGATGGTTTGCACACTGATTATTTGCTGCAACCATTAAGTGTGTTGCCGTTCCCTGAAAACTTTCAGCTTCAACATCCACCAATGTCCTGAAGGGATATGAAACAATATTCGATCAAACAAGGCTGAGGAATACCTATTCAAAGCCCTACATACAGCATGGATTTAATCATCATATATAATGCATGTTGGATATAGTACCTCATCTATCCTTCATGATATTGCATATTTTTAACCTGCAGCGGATTACATTGAAGAAGAACATTCAGCTCAAGCGTAAGATCTTGGTTACATTGTGTCCCGATGATAAGCTCAGAGATGGCAGACAGTCCTTTGAAAAGCTGAAATCTTGGCGATAAGATCATGTGGGATTTATCTCAGCCTCCAGAGATTTGATATTTGGCTTCCTGAGGCTGGAGATGAATGCTGTTTTAAGAGGGAGTTTTGTGATTCTGCAGCCAGCTTTTAGCTCTTTGGCTGCAAACGGCTTAAGAATGGACGTGAATCCCTTTCTGCTACTGTATTGTTTCCGTGTGAGTGCTGGAAGATAAACAGTGGGAAAACAGCTAGTCAAACAGGGAGCCATGGCAATGTATCACACACAGACTTGAACACACATATCAACAAACACACACAGAGCCAAACTGAGAGAGTTTGGCCCTCACCAAAAAAATGATTTCCCCAACTATGTCACACTCCAGTTTTCTCTGCTGTGTTGTGGTGATTGTGTTAGCATTGGACAGAGAAACAGAGAGTACATTCTCCTTCCTGTAATACCATTATTTGACTTTCCGAACAAGTCGGAGGCAGGGTGTTCAATATTTGCAGAGGTGTGAGACAATGTGACAATCTAATTAGCAAAAAGTGAGAGACTGCAGTCCCTGCTCGTAATCTGGCAAGTAAACAGAGAGAAAGAATAATCGGATCACACAGACACACTCTTTTAAATAGAGTGGAGAAGGTAATGCTTGGACATAAAAGATACATACATACATACAGAGCAGCAAAGTATGGAAGCAAGACTATTCTGAATGATGTAATAGCATGTTTTTTTATTGTACAAATAAAAAGGAGCATTCATAAACAATGAAGTGCACCCTTGCTCAGCTCAACAGACTCAGGAATCCTGCCGTTACAGCCACTTGGTCTCGTATGACCAGTAGTCTTTTGTGGCTAATTTGGGTTAATGTTAGCAAACTTTATATAGAGATGTATGCATATTTATCAGGCAGGCTTGTTGTTCGCTTTGTTAGCACAAAATGGAGGAAACTTGTGAGCCACGCTGAATTCATTTTGGATTCTTCACCATGATAGAGAGATTGTTGATAAAGGGAAGGCGATTTGCTGTGTTTTAAACATGCAGCTGCCGGATTTAAAATCACCTGTTAACTTGTCACTCAAGTGAAGCAGTGGAGGCACCACATGGTAGTTTAGGGTTAAGCTATGCAGTTTAGTTTAGCTTTAATAACTGATAGTTACTGACTGGACATGCTCAGAACCGCCTTCCTGCAAGAGCATTCCCAAAAAAGTTAAGCATTTTTAAAAGTGGCTGCTGCTGCCACCTACAGGTGTCAGGTAGGAAGCAGGTGCTTCTGTGAACGTTGGAGTTGGTACAACCCACCCAAGAATCCACTGTATGTACAATGGAAATTACTGATATTACCAAAGACTTCTACATATTTGGATAATTTACCATCATCTGAAGTCTGGTGGAAATGTTTTCCCAGGCTCAGTTATTCTTCTGGTTGTCCCTAAAAGCAGTTACCGCCGTCCTTGCTTGCTCTTGTTTCTGACCCAAGATGCCCACCCCCTTCTGTTTGATAGGTCAAAGCCAGGCGGTTACTGCCAGATGTTTAGCATTGTGAACTTTGGGGCGGCAGAGCAACATCTGTGCATATACATGTGGTCAGCAACCGCTTCAATACCCTTACTGCCGCCATCCAAACCGCTTCCCCTCTGCCGCCTTTCTCTCATTGAAATGACTGGAGGTGTGAAATTATTATCCATTATCCTAATGTCCTGTTGTTTTCTGTATTAGTGATTATAAGTATAAGTGATTTTTGGCCACTTGGGTGCGTGACCACTTTCACATATGAGTAGTCATCCACTGTTGATATAAAAATTTTGATTATAGCTGGTTTAAGACACAATTGTCCAGCATTTACAAGGAAAGACTCAATTGTGGCAGCACATGCAAATTATATGGAATAGTAGTTTTGTTAGGAGAGGAAAAAAACACATTTAAATGAACTGGAATTTGTATATGTGCTTGTCCATTGCGAGTATTTACAGCACAGAACAGAATAAATAAAATATATTGCTAATCCTGTGTGTGTGCATATGTGTGTGTGTGTGTGTGTGTGTGTGTTCTAGTGCAGTGTCAAGGTCTGACTCTGACGTTGCGCTCACTAGTCAGGCTCATGGGAAATATAGCCCAGACTCTGATCATAGAAGACCTTGCTTTGCTCTCAGCTCACACACAAACACACACACGCCTTACCACTCTGGCCTCCCTTTACAAGAAAGAAAGTTAAGCAAGACCGTAATTATAATAATAATCCATCATAGTTAATCTCCTGATCAACAGACATTGAACACCGAATTCTGGGATGTGAGTTCTTTTAGCTCAAACATTAAAATCAATTGGCGGTATGACAGAGGAAATACATCCTGGTGAGTCAGACTTTAATGAGATGTGCGTGGGAGAAAGAAGAGAGAGAAGAGAGAAGAAGGTAAAGATGTGTGTGTGTGTGTTTGCGTGTGTGTGTGTGAGAGCGAGAGAGAAACACCAAGACGAAGACAGATGAGAAAGAGAGGCTTTTCAAGGGAAACACCAAGAGATCTGTGTGGTTAATTAGGCCTGGGATTAATGAAAGCAGAAAGATTCATTTGTAGGAGGAGAAGAGAAGAATTTAGGAAAGGTGGGGCAAGGGAGCAAGAGAAGAAAGAGTTCAAAGAGTGAGAGAGAGCAATGGAGATGGGAGTATGTGTGTTCAGGTCTACAATGCAGCATCTATTGTATGTATTACAAGTTGTACCGACTCAATATTCATGACCTGTCTCTTCTAATTTGTTTTCTGTGGCCACGTTGCATGTGCGTGTGTGTCAGACGCCATGCTGTCAGCTCCACTCAATGTGACCATCAGAGAGATTGAGGTCAACTCCGCCGTGGTCACGTGGGAAATCTTGGAAGGGGACCCCGTTATCGGATTCGCCATTACCCAACAGGTACCTTTATGTGTTTCTGAGAGGGCGAGACTTTTGGACGTAGTTTAGATCAGAGGTTTTTGTAAAGGAGGGAGAGACACATGAAGCAAAAGAAATGACCTCAGGTGAAAGAGACAGGTGCATGCCGGTGAATCTAAAAACAACAGGAAGTAATTTACAGTTTGTTCTGCTCACCATCGTGGTCAACAGATGCAGCAGTGGCTGTGACACACAGCTCGTTGGGGATATTAAGGTACCTCAAAACCTTAGTGCCTGAATGCTGCAATTAGCTTCACAAAATGACACTCCCTTTCTGCGTCATAAACACACATACATTATACAAACATTTTTAGATTCAGTGTGACTTATATCCATCACCAATAAATGTCCGTAAATCTGTTTAAAAATCTTAAGAGAAATTATGTTGCTTATAACTCCAGAACTTGCCCAAGAATCCTCACATTTTTAAGTTTCCTTTAGTAATCCAATGATAGTTGTGTGTACATCCACGGGTACACTGCCGACAGGAACTGCTAATTTGGCATACTGCTAATGTTGCAAATTCATCAAAATGTAAACATACAGGCTATAAAAAAACAGGGCTCAAGTTGTTGATATAGTGCAGGAGGTGGCGCTCTGTTCATGCTCAGTGGCGCATGAAGCCAAAAAAAAGCCACTTCCCACTGCGAAGAAATTACCCGGATGAATACGTACGCCACAGTAAGACTTCTGCTCGCTGGTTTCCGGTTTATCCCTCTGTTCACTTAACAGAGGGATAAACCAAGATTCTTCTGAATCTTCCAGACTTTAAAATGTTATCCAAAAAATAATAATTATCCACCGTTCCACACCCGCTTATTTCACAATGTAGCCTTATTCTTTTTGGGCCAGCGTGCATCACGTGACAGTGCTGTAATTACAGCGACTATGTCAAATTGGCTTCAAAGTCCGGTGCACTTCCTGGGGGCTTGGTCCATGGCAGTATTCCTGTATATCTCCTGTTTACATCTCTCAAAGTGTTGTGGGTACTGGAGTTCCAAAACTCAGAGCATGATTATCCCCCAAGTAGAAGTAAGACCTAATAATAATAGTAGTAAAAAAAAAGGCATTAATATTAACTTCAATCAATATGTGTGGATGTAACTAATCGTAACTATCGATCTGTTTTTTGTTTTGTTTTGTTTTTTGCATCCAAATAGCTTTAGATACACTTTCAGCTGTACATTTAGTCTGTGTGCTGTTTAAATAGTTTAAGAAAATCCTTCTTTAATTGCCCGGTAAATAAAAAAACCCCAAGGAGAGTTATTCTTGATCCAGCACAAACCAATTGACCTGAGTAAGCAGTCCTAGCTGGATAATAAGGTACATTTCAAGCAGAGCGCACATGGCCAGAGAAGCACTCTGTTTCTTAAGCTTAATTACACTGCAGGAAAACCCCTTGGAGGCTTTATTTCAGCTTTTTTCCCAACTGTTAACCCAGAGAGATGCTATGCTTTCGCACCATATCAGCCCTACCCAGGGGGCAGTTTGTTGAATTTTCACAAAAGGGATCGTCGGCAGGAAAATCCGACCAACAGAAATTTGTGTTTGATAATGAATGCATCCAAGGAAATTTTGCTAACAAGTAGAAAACTCTTACATTGCCTTAAGGGAGAACGATAAAGCCGAACCTTTAGTTAAAGTGATACAGGGTATTGATTGCATATATTGTAACTTTGGGCACAATGTTATCTTGAAAATACAACATTTTAATGTCAAAGAAATGAAAAGGAGTAACATTTAGAATCAAACCCCACTCTTAATCTGTGGTTACAAAATATCAAGTGGTTGCCTGATGCATAACCCTGAGCTGTGACTCCTCGGCTGAGGTGGTGCCAAAGAAAAGAGAATTTCCCTACAGGGATCAATAAAGTATCACATTACATCGAGCCACCTGGCCTCTGCTTTTCTCTTCCTCGCTTGTCTGCAGAAGAAAGATGTACGCATGCTGAGGTTCATCCAGGAAGTGAACACCACCACGCGCTCCTGTGCATTGTGGGATCTGGATGAGGACACGGAGTACATCGTTCATGTTCAGAGCATCAGCATGGGAGGCAGCAGCCCCCCCAGTGAGCCGGTCCTCTTCCGAACGCCCAAAGAGTCAGAGAAGATGGCGTCCAAGAGCCCAGGTGAGGGACCATAAGACATTATTATTCGTTATCCTTCTAGTGTCAAACTCTCCACATACATCATTCTGCACAGTGAAGGGGGACTTGAAAAATACAGTTTACAGTACAAACGCAATTACTTTAGGGGAAGCACTGGTACTGGTTAGTAAGAAGTTCATGTGTCCCTGATTCTATCTTCATTTACAGTTTCTGGAAGCTCAGAATGCAAACTACTGTGATCAGTGTCCTCTTGGTTCCATGGGGACATAAAAAATGTGTGCAAAAACCCTTAAAGTGATGTCTTCCTTTGCAAAAATTCATGCATTTTTTAGTGAAAGCTGTCAAAAGCCAAAACCGACTGACAAACGCGATAAGCCTGACACAAACAGTATGAGTTTTCCCTTCTGTAGAGCACATGCTACAAACACATACACAGGCAGGTGGATTATTAATAACTAATACACGCAAGAGCACACGAACGCAATTATAAATCTGTCGTACTTCTGTTCTGATGTTTTTCCCTTGCTGACACACACAAACCTACATGCACAGATTTTAATAGCAGCTTTTAACCAGAGGCGGTCACTAGTCAGAGTACTAATGTTCTGTTTGTGTTTTCATGCTTCATCGTGACAACGAAAATGGTTATTTGAAAATGTAATACACATAAAGAGAAAGAAATTGCTGTCTTTGTGAGAACCGCTCCCCACCTACCATACAATGTATTGTTCTAATTCTCAAATGCAGAGGCTGCTGTTATCTGGAGCAGCTTGCAGTACTTCCAATTTTATCATGTCCGACCCAGTTACAGTGCCGAGAGCAGCTGCTTCAGAGGGACACAGCAAATGCTAAATGCTCATCGAGAGGAAACGGGGGACATGAGGGAGCAGTGTATTCCCTAGAAACACCCTGTGTGGGAGCTTGTCGAGGTCCTGGGGGGGGTAATGTTAAATGACATTAACACTGACAAAGCATTTTGTCTCTTCTGCAGTATTTAAGTGACATTTCAGGCAGTAAGTGGCCATTTTTCCTCCAAATGACCATTTGTCTTGTTCCTACTCTTGGCAAGCTTTCTGTTCTCACACAACACTGCGACAGTAGCAGACTGACCATAAAAATTCTTAACAAAGATTGAAACAATGGGCTCAGAGGTAGACAAAAGTAGGCTTCTCATTTTATCGGCTGAAATGACAACTGTAGCTGCTGTGTTGTTATAAATCCCACTGCTTTTCTTGGATAGCATTCAAGTGTTAGGATTGCTCAGGTGCCCATGCTCACACGAATGGGAGAAGTTAGCATTCAGTCCTCATGCTGGAAAGCTTTCTGCCAGAAAGGATGTGGTTGATGTTGTGAAAGGGCCTATTCTAGATGATCTTTTCATAAACCTAACCAAGTATTACTGTTAACTTAACCTATGCAAACTGCTCTATCAAGCTCTTTAAACTGCATCACCTGTAGGACTGCAACTAGTGATTATTTAAGATAAGATGGATAAAAGATAGACTTTATTGATCCCACTCTGGAAATTCATTAGAAATATAGATTAATCTGATGATTTCCCCATTAGTCTATTAGTTGTTTGGTCTATAAAATGTCAATAAATGGTGAAAAATGTTAATCACTGTTTCCCAAAGCCCAAGGTGATGTCATCAGATGTCAATCTTGTTTTGTCCACAACCCAAAGATCAGTTTATTGTTACAGAGAACTAAAAAAGCAGAAATTATTCACATTTGAGAAATCAGAGAATTTGGACATTTTTTGCCAGATTGCCAGATTTTATTCACTGTGGCTAGCTAGCATTAGCTGCATGAGCTGGCTTAAAACAATAACTTTCTAAAAGGGGTCTCATGTATGCACTTGATGGCCACATGACACCGTGTTAAAAGCCCGAGACTAAAGCTGCACGCCCCGGGCAAAAAGTCAGCATCCTCACCAGATGATGATACGTGCAAGACATGAAATATTGCAAGAGGCTTCGATACAGTGGCAACACACTGGATGTTCTAATCATGAACAGGGTTTTTTTAGTGTAACCTTTTTTCCACACAAACTAATGTAGTTAGTTAATGACATTTTGCTCACTGGCGTTAGAAGTGATGCCACTGTATATAGTGAGCTAGTTAGCCTGACATGCTAGTGATAGCTGCTTATGTTAGAACAGACAAACACATTGTAGAATCAATTCATTACACCTGTGATCTTGTGTTTTTAGTTTTGGAAAGGCTTTGGATGAAACTGATCAGATGACAAAAACAGTCCCAGCTTCACAAATTAGACGTCACCAAGTCTCAGTTAAGCACACAATTGGGAGCCACTTGATTAATAAAAAAAATCTTGTACCAAGTTAATTTATTAGAGGAAAATTCAAAATATTGACAGTATTGGACAGAAATATTTGTCACAATATATGTTGCGGTGTATGTGAGGTCATGTGACATAGGCATTTAGTGGGACCGTTTGTCTTGATGTTGAGGGGCTGACTCGTTTAGTTTGCTCCGACTTTGATGGAAGTTCGCTCTGTGTGTGTGTGTGTGTGTATGTGTGTTTATGGAAACATTCATTAGCTGTCCTGATTAAATCTCCCAGCCATTACTGCTCTCCTCCCCTTCTAAGCAGGTATTAATCAGCCTGACACCATTTAGTATCTGCAGGCGCAATGCAACACAACACACAATCTGTGTGTGTTTCTGTCTGTTTGTCTTTCTTTGTATCTCTGTGTCTGTAGCTTACATCCAGTTACATCAAAATATTGCAAAAGTCCTGGATGCACTGAATTTTTCATAATGTAGTACAATCTTTGGTGGCTAGTGTTGAGATATAATGTTTAATGTTGGTTATTACATTATACAAGGAGCTGCAAAAGCTTTCTACATCAATCTTATACAGCAGCACAACATTACAGAGCCTCCTGTCAGAACTGTTTCAACTGTTAATTTATCTCTGACAGTGGGGCAGCAGCAGCCTGCTTCACATTTACACACATTTCTCCAGTACAACCACACTGTTCTGTTCGTCCTAGTAGTCTTTAAAACAAAAAGCTTTAAAAGGTCCCGTGTGTAGGATTTAGTGGCATCTAATGATGTGATTGCAGTTGTGAACTCACTCACTTCACCCTCCCTTTCTAAGCACAAGAGGGTAACATGGTGGCTGTGAAACACGCCAAAAAAGGGATCAGTCCTGTCTAGAGCCAGTGTTTGGTTTGTCCATTCTGGGCTACTGTTCAAACACGGTGGACTCCATGGAAGGCGACCTGTGGCGTCTGTAAATAAAAATAGCTCTTTCTGAGGTAATGAACACAACAATTCTTATTTTCAGGTGATTACACACTAATGTAAACATATTGATGAATATGATATAATGTTTCTGCCAATAGATCCTCTGAATGTTACACACTGGACCTTTAAGTTGTGAATGGCTGAGGCATGTAGGCCTACTTATGTGAATGAGACAGGCCACGCTGAACTGCTAGATTATTTTTATGGCTTGATATTTTACATATAATGAAGAGTTCCAATTACAACCACTGTATACACACTTGTGAAGAGTAGTAGACACACAAGTCAACAATGATCTAATCATTTGATTATAGCCTAATTAAAGCTACTTCGATTATTGCATCTGCCATGTACAGTAATCAGGTTATGTGGCTTTTATCAAGGCATAACGTGATTAACAGACCAACTGCTTTACCTGTCAGTTTTTTAAATTGCTCTCTTTTTATTAATACAGCTTTGTGTAATTTCTTTCAATATTTTTATTCTGCATACAGGGTCAAAGGTCACAGAACTGAAAGCAAAGTGGTGTGTTTGACAAACAATGGGCAAGTTACTTGAAAAATGAAATCAATTACACAGTTCTCATGACTTACTAATTACTTGCTGTTTACAGGAATTACTTTCCTCATTACTTTTACTTTTGTTGTTGTTTGTCAGCCCAGCTTTGTCAAAGTTGCCACCAAACCACTCCAAATCCTCCACACACATCATACCTCTTTGTTAGAAATGGAAAATGAGGGGCGCCCAGAAAACTGGTAGAGTTGGCCTTGAACCAGGTCCTTGCTGCAGCAGCCAAGGGTTCGACTCCCACCTTTGATAAGTGTCATCCCCTCTCTCTATTCAAAATGGTACTCCACAAACCAGTGGGTGTCACGATAGAGTTTCATTAAACTCCTGTCTTACAGTTTAACTATCGACTATGGAACACAACTCAAAGCTCATATAATATCACATATTTATATAATATACAGAGAGATGTAGACCTTAACTTTCAGCTTAATGTCGTACCCAACACAGGCATATCTGATTCAGAGAACTGTCCATCAGAGGACTGCCCTCGAACAGGAACATGTAACCTGCCATTACCAACTTTATAACAGCAACCTCCCCTCTGTCAAGCCTGAGGCTTCAGCTTTGGCTCCGATGAATCACCATGGCAACAAGAGACCTGAGAGCAAGCTGGACCACAGCAGCACCACCACCCTCGACTCATTCAGACACCAAAACAGGATGGTGACCGCCTGGTATTATAACTTGAAGGCCAACCCTGTGGGTTCTTGAGGCTTCCTCCTCCTTTGCAAACCCTTTAAAATGCAACCAAAGACAGTTGAGTGACAGTGATGTCTTGATGCCATCCCTTTGATATTATACAATGCTATGCCAAGGAAACCACCCCCTGGTTGCAACAGGGAGCCAGTTACACCAGGGGAAATGTGGGGTAGCACGAGACCTGCTGTTGGCAACAGAGAGCGAGAGGTTGTAGTCCAGGCTGTGTTCAAACCTCTAACCCTGTGATTGGTGTTGTGCTGCAGCTGCCAGAATCCCGTCAGCAAGAGAACAACAGTGAATGATTGGGTTTGGATCCAGCTCTCTTTGTCTCTGTGGACCTCTGCTCTCACTTAGCTTTAATTACACTGACCAGAGTGGAGAATTTACACCGGGCAGCCTCTCTGCTCTCCTGTCGCCCTGTTTTATTCTTTTTATCTTTCCCTGCAGAGGTTCAGAGTGATGGCAATTTCACATCTTCTCTCTGGGACAATGAATCGCAGTGTCCTCAGTGGCACTTTGTTGACTCTTTTGTGTGTGTGTGTGTGTGTGTGTGTGTGTGTGTGTGTGTTCTCTCTCCAGACGAGGTGACAATGGAGGAGTTTGGTCACGCTGCCCAGCTGAGGGCTGGAGAACTCATCATCATTGTAGTGGTGCTCATCATGTGGGCAGGTAATATTCCTTTTCAGCAACGCACATTTATCACTGCAGGAATCTGCTGTCTCTGGGGCAAAGAAGCTCTCTGACTGAGGTTCAATTAAGAGACAAACAGTCTGGTGGAAGTGTCATCTCTCTGTGATCACTATTTTGTGCCCTGCAGGGCTTTTGGGATGATGGGATCCTGGCCAGAAAACATTTTTTGGTGATCAGAACACATTGAATCTAGCTTTAAGGTATTTAAACCCATCCAGATACACAGACAGAATGTATCTCAGTTTGAGATTCAGCATCAGATTAAGGTTTTTTCCCAATCAATCAAATAATTATGTTTGGAGGCATACTACAGGATTTTCCTAAAAACAACGTATAGTGTAGACTCCTACAAACATAATCCCTTGCAGTCTTGACATCTGACACACTAGAAGTGTGTGGCAGTGTCTGTATTTGGCAAGATCATGCCCTTTGCCTGTATTTTCTTATTTTGTTGTGTCAGGGACCTTTCTGGGAGTCAACCTTTGGGCAGCTCACAGTGTGTGATGTAGCAACCAGATTACCTCGCTGTCTCTATCTCTTCCCATTGCTCCCGGTTTGTGTTTAAGATGCAGATCGAGCTACGGGTCTGTGTGTCAGTGTCTGTTTGACCAAGGGCGGACAGGTTGAAGCTATGCTTCAGTGGCATTCTCACAAAATCCAGAAATATGGCACCTGGCTGCAGGGTTGTGCAGAGGTGTGGTTGTGTTTATTTGTGCTTTAGAATGCAACCGCTGTGAAACAATCATCGAATAACAATTTATTCCTCTGACTTATTGCCTTGTTCCCGCTAATGTCGCTCCCTCTCCTCATTCATTCTCTATGCTGCTTGACCAAAAGGTACTTTCTGGCTCAGTCAAGCCGGGGAGCAAGGGCCAACTTTGAATGGTGCGTGTACAAACACCAATGGGCAAATCCTGCATAGTATGCCTTAAACTTTATTGTCCCCAGATGGGTCATTTGTTTTGCAGCCAGGTGAAACAGAACATAAAAACAAACTTAATGAGATACATAAAATAAATTCATATACATAAAACATTCCTTATCCAAATAGAGGGTCTAAGGATAGAGGATGTTGTCTGTTGTACAGATTGTGAAGCCTTTGTAAGCAAATTTGTAATTTGTGATTTTGGGCTATAAATGTCCTTACCTTACTTAAAAGTTTACTTTTCTGCTAATACAGTATAGAATTATGAAAAGAAATGTATTCTGTTAACTGGTTCCTTCCTGGTAAATAAGGATACTTTCTATGGTATCCAAGCTTTACATAAACAGTGTGGTCAGTCACAAAGTCACATTTCCATCATCTCAACATACAGTAAACTGTTACTGGCGTTCAATCAGTTTTTTCTGTTGTTTCAAACTACAAGACTGTAGCTGCTTCCTATTTAAGCCTCCTAGTCATTAGCTCTGTGTTGCAATTATCCTTTTGTGCATCTCAGCACTGTTTTACAGTTGCACATAGCTATAAATATTCCTTCCGAACCCACTTCACCAAGTGTAATGAGATACAAATATGGCCCAAATCCCTATCATGGCATATACAGTAACAGCAACATCTCCCTCGCCAATTACCTGTGAGAGGACGAGAGAGACAGAGGGAGATTCAAAGAGAGTTAGAGAGGGAGCAGTGAGGGAAAAAGAGTGAAAAACGGAGCTATGGAATCACAAGAAGAGGAAAAAAGGAGGGCAGGGTGGTGGAAAAAAACTGAAAGTGGAGGAGGCGAATTGTGTTTTTCAGCTTTTAATTGGGCCTATGGGGCACGCTGGGGGATATCACAGTGAGATATCCCATCTTGGCCTTTGGTTTTGCAGTCATCAGATGAGCAGGGGCTGACATAAGCATAACAGCCAAGACTGAAGCCCGTTCAGGCCAGATTCCTCCTGCCTGAACCCTCCACGCGCTCCTCCACCATCATGAATTATTCTCTCTCTTCTTTTTTGTGCTTGTTCTCTATCTCTCTCTCTGCATCTATCTCCCCTCTGCCATGTTTTTAATCTTTCTGACTGAAGGCAGGCTTAACATAGCTATCTTATCATCAAGTTCATATCTCCTTCTGGATGTTTCACTGTATTCATGTTTCTCTAACTTCAGTTTGGTCAGCGTTACTGACACATCAAAAGACAGTTGGATAAATCTGTCATTGAAAGAAATGTGTTGCCGTGTATTAATGTTTCAAGGTGTATATGGCTTAAAACCAAATTCAAACGAGTGAATAACAAATGGGCATTATAGAGGTTGAATATAAAAAATATATATACAACAGTGTAGTGGCTTTAATTGCTTCCTTTCAGCTTGATTCAGGAGCAGATTAATGCAAATTCAGGATGCTGTTAAAATTGGCAAAACAATTTCCACTCAGTGTCCACTTACTCACATTGTTCTGGGGCTTTTGGTAATATCACATGGTCCAGATGGAGTTTGCTCAGTTGTCATGGAAGTGAACTTTTTGTTCATGTTAAAAGTTCAAGCAAAAAGATTTGAAATTGAAAATATGTGATTAATGCAGGCAGGATACAGCTAAATTAAATTGTATTACTAATCCTTTAAGGAAAAGTTTGACATCTTTGGATATACGCTTATTCACTATCTTGCCAAGAGTTAGATGAGGAAATCTTACATGTGAAGCTACAGCCAGCAGGTGTAGCTTAGCTTAGCATAAAGACTGGAAACAGAGTGACACAGCTGGTTCTGTCCAGAGGTAAAATAATCTACCAGCACTTTTAAAGCACACTAAAACAGTGTTTTTACTAAGAAAGGTATTTAAGTGTTAAATAGACTGCATTTATATAGTGCTTTTCTATCTTAACAGACAAAGTGATACAATTCTGCCTCTCATTAACTCATTCACACACCGATGGCATTGCAAAGCACTGGCCTTGGGGTTTGTGAAGATAAATGAATACAATAAACTGTATGGCAATATACATATCTAATAACATTTCCTAAACTAACCCAGACATGACATGACATAATATCATGTGACACAATGACATCAAGCGAAACCCTAAAACCATTAGCTCCAAGGTTCCAGCTCTAATAACGGATCTTGCATTTTAACAAAGGTTATTATTCTAACAAATAATTATTTTGTCTATTTGTCTCCCAGGGGTGATCGCCCTGTTTTGTCGTCAGTATGACATCATCAAAGACAACGAGCCCAACAACAACAAGGACAAAGCCAAGAACTCCTCAGAGTGCAGTACTCCAGAGCACCCACAGGGGGGGCTACTGCGCAGCAACGTCTAAGACCAGCCCTGCATAGCCTTGTGCAATAACCAATTCCTCGAACCTCAGGAAAGGTGAGGAACAGCAAATATTAATTGACTGTCATCTGCAAAAAAACTCATCTTCTGTGATACATATAAATCCTTTTTTCTTGGTTCTATATTTATTTCTATTTTTTCTTCCTTGATCCATTTTTTTATTATGCTTCTGCAACAAATTGTTCCCGTAACTATTTAAGTTTCAGCTTATCCTAAAGCAACCATCTCTTCATTCATTTATGGTTAACTGTCTGATACTCACATATAACAGTTGACCAATTGATCATTCGCCAACCTGTCTCCTAAAATTGGGTTCAATCATAGCTTAAAACACAAGTAGGCGCAGCAGGTCTCTGTCTGAACTCAAGAACCCATTGTTTAAAGAACGACTAATGTTTTAACTGTGTTGCAGTTTCTCTAGTGCTAAAAAGGGCAGCTTAAAGGTCCAGTGTGTAACATTTCGAATCGTTGTGTTTTCGTTACCTTAGAATGACCTGTTTATCTACAGAGGGAACGGGTCCTCTTCCACAGAGTCTGACATGTTGAACTAGGCCGTTCACATTTTTCGCAAGTTTTGCCGCCACCATAGATTCTCCTACCCACTTGGAAGGAGGGTGAGTTGAGTGGGATTCAATTGGTTGCAGTCTGCAACCTCACCACTAGACGCCATTAAATCCTACACACTGGACCTAAAACAGGTGTAGCAACAGTAGTTATGGGGTCCAGGCATTTAGCGAACGGCCAATTAGAAATAATAAAAAAAGGGAAGACATGACAAAATGAGACCTCAGAAACAACTTTGGCAAATAACACAAAACACTACCATGACTATAGATTCTTTGACATAGTAAGTACTTTTGTTTCCACTCTTTGAGATATCTGTCACTTTGTCTCTCATCAAGTACAGTACATTTGTTTCTTCCAGACCCTGAGACCAACAGAAAGCCATTCCCAGACACCATCGTACTGAGGAACCGATAAACCATTACAGAAACTCTTCTCTACACAATGAAGAACTCTTCAAAAATAATGGACACAAATCTGACTTTCCAGAAAGGCTGCAAATGGTTGAACAGGAAACCGAAGAGGACAAAACTACATTTATCTTTGTTGTGACCAAAAGTGAACTGTAGCCTGCTTTGAGTGGACAGCAAATATATGGCTGTCAGTCAAAGCACTGGAGGGGGCGTGATTTCTTCTTGACAAGAACTGCTTGATTCATATGTTCTGGTTACTCTTCCGTCAGTGGCATCAAATCCCAGGAGCGGATCATCAAACATGAATGAGTGTTTTTTTTTTTTCAACTTAAGGTTTGTATCACTGGTCAGAGGTGGCAGAAATGTGGGTTGCCTTGTAAGAATAGCTGGTCCTTCTGGTCCAGGTATCAGTCAGCACACAACTAAACAAGCTAAGCTCTGTTTTAAACCAAGGACTTTCTCTTTTTCTATCTCTCCAACCACATATCTTCCTTTCTGTCTTTATTACACCCCTCTGTGTAGCAGCGCATCCTTCTACCTGTCTTTCTGTGTTGGTGTCTCTCTAATAATAACATTGCCGTTTGGTGCTCCTCCTATTGTGATTGTTTGAGCCCTCACAATCCCAATCTTGAGCACGGTATCATTTTGTTATTGGGTCAAAAATATAGCACACTGGGTATTGTCTCCTGTCTTTCTCTCTCTGTGTGTCATCAGTTAAATGATGCATCTGTTTTTCTCTCTCCTCTCTGAACTGGAACCTTAACGCCCTTGTCAGTTCAGGGATAAAATCTGACACATTTTTTACAGCGCCCCATATTTTCCTTATACAAGTTGGATGACACTGTCTGAATACAGCCATGATTCAGACAAAGTTCAAGAATTGACCAGGCAGTCTCTCATCACAGTGGTGCCTCAGTCCAAATAAAAATTTTACAACTTTGAAATTCAGAAGTTAACTTCAGCGTCAAACTTTTAAAAGACTGGCATGGCTGGAAAATGACTGATGTAGGTTTAAATTGAGGTTTATTGTTCATCACTGCATATTCAGCACCATATGCTGCCTGTGGTCTGCAACAGGATGTGCAGGGAATAAAGATGGCGATATGCAGGGCATTATTCCTAATGAAATGTATACACTGGGCAAAGTTTGGCTGGGTTTTCTCTCTGGTTTGGCTGAAGACCAGCAGTGATGGCAGGCTGAAGAAGCACACAGATGATCCACTCAGCTGTGTGGCTCAACCCTGTTTTGAAATGTAAACCATTTTCTCTCAGACCCCCTTTGGAACTGTCATTAACACACATCATAAGTGATCTAGGACTGTAATGGGATACAGAAAAAAAAGCATAAAAGCCAGGTGTAAAAAAATACCTATTGCCAACACTATGTAGGCAGTAGGCTACAATTAAAGCACGAATATATAATCTACAAAATAATCCATGTACATTGCACGGCAGTGTATACAAATGAAATACAGCATGCGTCTCCCTCATAAATCCTGAAAGGTTTATGTCCAAATTTATTGCAAAAGTTCCACCTAAGGTAAAACAGGGAGATTCCCTGTTTTACCTGAGGTGGACAGTAATTCTTCAAGCTGATCCACGTTTGCAGTATGGTGCTTGCCATTGTGTGGGACAGTCGTTGGGAGAGTTTTAACTAACAAGTATCCTTACTAACTATATTATATAGTCATTTAAAAAGTTAAAACATTTACTGGTTGCATTTGTGTTTGTTTACTGTTGGTCAGACAGCAATTTGGATGGCATTTGTCAAAGTTTGAAATTTTATAGGGGAAATAAACAATTTAAGGGAATATTCTATATTTTCCTTTTTGACAAAAAATCGAATGAAAAGACCAAAAACAATGACTTGATCTCATTTAAATGCCAAGTGTTCTCTATGTAGCCGAAGCCTTATATGTAGCTCATGTTCCTTTCTTCCTACAATGAACATTTGTAGCACTGTAGTTTATTTATTTACTCCTGTTTAAGTAACATTTTAAACTAGAAAAAAAAAATTATATTTGTGAGCTGGTTTCAAAGAATTATATTTTCAGTAGGAAGAAATGGGCTTATGAGTACAACTGATTGTCTAGGGAAGTTAGAACGTATTTAGAGATGGACTAACAGATTGTGGGTTTTGGATTTTTCATGGGATTTGCTGACAAAATATAGAATAATGGCACCCTATTCCTTAAACGCAAAAACAAACATACAGATCAATCAACGAGGGAAATCATTATTATTTGCAGCCCTAGTTCCTGAGCACACTCGGACATCCTATTATAAAAGGAGAATTCATAGAATACATATTCATAACCTTGCCATTTATGCAGTTACCACTTCATCAAGGGTTTTATGTGAAGGAGCAAAGGACTTATCAAGCTAAAGATAAAGCTTCATTATCTTCTTTGTGGCTTCCTGTTCAATTATGATGTGCTATCCACATAATTGCAAACTTATTGGACTCCAACCCTTGAATACTGACGCTTACCAGTTGAGTTCACTAAAAAGTCAGACAGAAAAACACTTCGAAGCTGAACTCAGCAGAGTTGCTGCCATATTAGAGATAATAAGTGAATGTCTGAATGCCTCGCTGGTTGAGATGACTGCTAATCAGCACCACATACACACACAGACACACACACACGCTGAATTTAAATACTGCCGTGCGTATTTGAATACTGCCCTGTGCTAAGAAAGACAGCCATTAGTTTCTCATCTCAGTCATCAGTTCTGCCACCATACCGAACCCTCACAATGCCATCCATTTTCACCCTCTCCCATCTTTATCAGTCTCCCTCAGCCACCCCCAGTCTCCCATTTATGACGTTCCCCTCACTTTCTCTGCTTCTGTCGCAGTGCTCTCTTCCTCATATATCACTTCACCCTTTCTCGTTTCTCCCATTCCCCAGTCTTCTCCTTACCCCCAGCTTCCCTCTCCCGTTTCTCATTATATCCATTCTCAGACTCCCGTTAGCAGCTTTCTCCCTCTCCACATCAGCTCTTCTCTCTCTCTCATTCGGCCCCGGCCCACTGCCTTTCCCTTGCTCCTCTGCTCATTTATCACCTTTACGTCTCAGACCGGCCTGGATGGACACTCCTCCTGGTAAACAAGTAAGGCAAAATAGACTAGAGGGAGAAGGAGAATGAAAGAATCAATGAAAGAGGAGAAGTGACGGGAAAAGTAGAGATAAGATAGGTAAGGAGAAAGAAGCACTTTTGTAGACTATTAATAAGCACATAAAGGGTGGAGTGTGCTTTTTAAGTGCTTTTAAAAAGGGGGAACAAGATTCATTAGATGTGAGAGATTCACTATGGTTTGGGATGTTTGTGTGGATTTCTTGAAGCAATGTGTGTGACGGCTGTAGTCAGAGTTGTTTTCAGCATTTAAAGAGGTGTTTTTTAGCCTTTCCAAAATCAAAAACACAAGGAACAGCATGTTTATCTGCTCTAACATAAGCTGCAATCATTAGCACAGCTAACGAGATTACTACCTACAGTAGTAACCCAATACATCACTGACGAACAAGGTTACATTATTTTGTGGAGTTTCTACTCTAAGTACTACTAAGAACTAAGAATTTCAAGCGGTAATCAACCATTTTTACTGTAAACTAAGCAAGACCAATTGAAAACACTTTAAAATCGTTAAAAATAAAGGTAAAATTAAGGAAAAACGATTAATAATTAACCTAACCCCCCTTAAAAATCGTTCGTCGACCTCCAGTGATTTAACGTGTCACTCTGTTACAGTGACGTACAGGTGTACAAAGTGAAACCAAACAACAGATTCACACACAAATCTCACAAACCATACGAATGGCTGTAAAAGAAGCAAGTGACTCAAGTGGTGGTCTATTAAGTGACTCAAGCTGGTTATAGAGAGACCATTGAGAAGGAAAGTACCTGCACACAAATTAAGAAAAAGAGACTGAGACTGGGATTTTTGAAGCATATGATACTTCAGGCGTTGACAGAAGTGGGGCATCATGGCTGGCCTGTAGAACACAGCAGAATTAAAAACCAAGCGCGTCTGACAAAGTGTACACTGGGGATTTGAATGTCAAGCTTTTTCCAAAGGGAGTGTAGCTGGGAGCGTCTGAGGGAGCCTGTTAGAAGCCGGACTCAGAGCGGTTGTTGTTGCTCCATCTGCACAGCTTGTTTCTATATAGGACTACATCAGAATTGCTTGTTGGATAGTGGAGTAGGTTTGGAAACCCTAGTGCAACCCTATGAAAATATCCCACACACAGATATCACACATCCCCCCTGAGCCGGTTTTTCAGAGTGTGTCCATTCAGACCAACTATAAACACACACGTGATCGGAAAACACATTGTACGAACTAGTTCTGAGTATACCTCTGCTCTTACTTTAACATTTGCTTTTTAAAGGAACAGTCTACAACAATTATGGAAAGTCCAGTCAGATGTGATTGAGGCTAGAAGTTTCCCTTTGCTTCCAGTCTTTGTGCTAAGCTAGGTTAGCCTGGATCCAGAATAGTTCTGGTGTTGTGGCTGCATAACCGACCAATTAGAGCTTTGAGGGCAGGATAAACATAGGGATGCCATATTTCTACATAGCTAGATAGCTTCCTAGCTACATGCATGAAAAATAGCGACACCATAATGGTGACCGATATGTCAACAAGCATGGATGAGATTGATGCAGCTCAGATAGAACAATATAACCCCTTTCCAACTATAAATCAGCTAACATTAACACAATGTCAAACTGAATGAATGGAGGGGAACAAAATGGCAATTCATTCTGGTTATCGGGCCAAGACTAACCATATCTAGAACTTACTTGAAGATGTTCTGAGATTAAATTCACAGTGACTTTCCGAAGGGTCTGACTGTTCCTTTAACTATTGATGTTACACTCTCTGAAATTATCAGCTGCATCCTCTCTAGCCTTCTGAAATCAGAATAACTTTGTTCTCTCTCTCGTGATCGATCAAAGGAAACAAACCCCGTTGATGTTCATGCAATCAAAATGAAAAAGTGCACTTTTCTAAATTTCTCATTAGACTGGGTCCATGGGTGTTAACATTATCTGGATCATTGAACATTAATCTGATTTAGTGGGTGATACGAATGTGCTTAGTAACTGTAATACTACTCAACCTGAAGTGGTCATTTTCCTGTAGCGGTCTAATCCAAGCACACACAATTAAACACTCACTCATGCACCAAGTCCATTCTCCGGCTGGCTGCGGTCCAAACTGACACATTGGGGGGAAGCAGCAGAAGGCAAGCCTGGCTCAGACAGCTCTGTCTCTGTCTATCTGAAGCTGCAGGAGGTGACTCACCAGCTGCTCAAGGTGAACATCCAATGAGGCATGTGCGAATATGGAGCCTGAGACCGGGAGAGAGACCTAAAGACAGACAAAGAGAAGGGAGGATGAGTCAGAGAATCAGAGGGTATACAACTGGGAGTGACAGACACAGAGGGAGAGAGAGGATCATTACACCCAGTGGGGTTTGCAGTGTGGAGTTCAGGCCAGTATGATGAGCTGTTTGAATGAAAGCACGGGTGTTAATGGGTTGTGGAAGAATGCGGGCACAAAGTCAGTCAAGATTTGAACTTCAGGGTTCGTCGTTGAAGCAAATGTGACAGAAATGTATTAAAAAATATAAAGGATAACTAAAGAGTGCATACATAGGACCTTAAATGTATCACATTGCCAAATAATATCAAATCAATTCTAACCCTTGAAGCAAATTATATTTGCTGTAGGCAACTTTGCCATAATTTCTAGGTTTTAGTTAATCGACACCCTGGGATTTTTTCAAAAAAATGCTTTACAGTCTTTGCAAACTGGGATTAATTTGTTCATGTGGATGTTTTAGGGCCTTACAATACTTATAAAACTATAAGACTTAAGGAATATTAACGTAACAAATAATTCAGTGATTTTTCTCCCACTGCAACACCGTGAGCTTTTCAGTAACACTTAAACCTTAAACTGAATTTATGCTTACCAAATGCCAACGGAAGACTACAAAAGTGGTTAAACTCATCCCATTCACACTGGTTTGCCTGTACTGTAGATGCCTGGATGAGTGACTATTGAGAACCTTGAATAATCACCCTAAGGTCCAACACACAGTAAAGAATAGGGCCGATTACTTATGGCATATATTTGTACTTTGTGTCGAAGCAAATAACCAAGAAGCATGGATTTACAGCAGAATAATGGAGTCAGTGTTTTATGTACAATCATGACGTCTGTGTTTGAACCATTTTGATGTTCATGGGATAAAACCTGTTCATGAGGGCTAGCATGACTCTGCTATCGTTCACACCCATGGTATATATACTATTTCTATAAAAATATAAATGTCTAATTATGTATTAACACAGGAAAGAAATAAAATATTTTCGATGCACCATTTATGGGTCTTGGTGTTTACTGTACATTCTGGCCTTCCACAGAGGCCACCATGTTGAGTTTAACACTAATCCTACACACTGGTCCTTTAATGCAACTTGAATATTAGTTGAGAAAATAATCACACCACAAGGCTCATTCAGTAGTTTTGGAGCTTTCAGTCATAGTACGAGAGATGCATCAGCAAATGGAGTTTTCCCTTTTGTCATGGAGTTGTAGAAATTTTATTTTTTTCTAAACACTTCAAGGATTTTTTTACCATGTTGACTTAAAAGATGAGATGCAGAGTTCATTGCCCACCTTGGAAACAGCAGCCAAGTAAACGATCTCTACCAGTCAAGGCCACATTCATGTCATTTACTTACTGTATTTCCAAAACAAGTTGCACTTAGTGACGCCAATGAGGTCAAAAAACGATCTGGGCCCGCTCTACACAGAAAATAATTCAGCCTTATTTTCTTGTCAATCAAAATTGTGATTGTGATTTTGTGACATTAATTAGAAAGGATGAATCATGAGAACAGATTCATCGATCATGATCATTTGAAATCAAATGTTTGAAAAATTAAAACTACTATATGTATATTTGTATTGAATCCAGGCAAACATCAAAATTAAAATATCCCGCTTTGGTCCAGCAGGGGCAAATCATGGAGACTTTAAGAGGTAGCAGAAATATATGCTGATTTAATAGCAAACAATCACATATATCAATATTTAATTCGAAAAGCCCCAATTTAAGATTTTTTATCTCAAAACCTTACTTTATTGTGGCAGAAATTTCTGAAGGTGGCATTAACAATCTTCTTTTTTCACTGAACTTAAGCCTATCACTTGGTATAAAATGTGGGCATAACAGATCATTAAATTAACTTCTGTTTTATAACATGTTAGTTTTAAAATGAATCTAAATGAATCTGTTAATTTCGACAGCATTTGACACCAAACTGCAGCTGCCACCCTCTAGATCCGCCCCTTTGGTCCAGTTCAATCCGTTCCCATCCCACTGGTTAACAGCTGTGAGATGCATTAATAATCCAGGAGAAACTAGTACAGTAAATGGAAATTATTTTCTTAAAACAATATTGCACACTTATGCACTACATATGCAATCAAACTGTATCATGTGCATCAAATATGACACTTCAATATAGCCTAGATCTTACCATAATGACAGACCAGTATCGGCCCCAATATAGCAGGTGACTAGAGGGCTCGGTAAGAGCGGATGTTACCTCTTTGAATGCTAATGAAGGGTGTGGGTGGTCGAAAGTGGCCTCCAGCATATGGGGCGTGACAAGGTTAGATTGCTATGGATGTGGACCAGGCCTTCAAACTCAAGGCTGGTTTATGAGGCTGGATCAGCAGCCGTCGTCTGGCCATCCACACACACACACACACACACACACACACACACACACACACACACACACACCACACACACACACACACACACACACACACACACACACACACACACAGGGCATCCTGTGGAACAGAAAACATAAATTAGACTGGGGCTCCAGAGAGTGTTCAACCGCAGGTGTTCTCACACTTAGGCCCACATACACACAAGCTAACGTTGTTGTGTCGAATAAAATGGCGATATTTACTTCATAATGAATGGTGTAAACATTGGTGACAGATGATGACTCAGTAGATTGTCAGAGGAGGCTGATGGAGCCTAATGATGCAAACACTTCTTCTTCTTGGTTCTTGCCTTGGATGGCAGGGAGTGCTGGTGTTTGATATGACGTGGACGTCGAAATGAAGACACGGACACACGCACAGCACATACGAAGATACACAATCACGCCTCTGCATCGATAGGACTTAAAACTCAGCTCTATTCCCCATCCAAGTCTTTATAGTCCTCCTTGTTCTCTGCTTCTCTCTCCCTCTGCGCTCTGAGTATCTAGATGGAGGAACAATGCAAAATTAATGTTACCATTTCTCCATCGGAATGCTCCGATACGTTACAGCTGGCAGAGCACATTATGCACGGAATTGATTAGATATGTGAATTAGGAATGACATCGATCGCAGTCACCGTAGATTAATCTTCTTGGAAGCTAAAGCTATGGATTAGTTTGCTTAAATGTTTATTCGATGCTGAGCCAGTTGTACTGCAGTGCTTGTCTCAGCTGAACAATAATACTGAGCACACGCCGGCGAAGTTGTTGTGTGCATGACATAACCACTGTACACCCTCTATGACCGCTGCAGAGTCCGTTTACCCAGGAGATTTTGCTGTTGAGTGAAAACCGGAAACTTCTATCCATGTCACTGTCTACCTGTGCACTTTATGTTTATGGTGAACTGGAGTTTCTGTATATGTTTGTGTATGTGTGTGTGTGTGTGTGTGTGTGTGTGTGTTGTTGGCTCTGACACCATGTTTGCCCTTTGCATGTTTGCCTTAAAGGTTAGGTTTTTTGTTTTGTAAGTGGGATTGTCTGAGGCACAATCTATAGTCACTGTTTTACCTACAGCAGATGGCGGTCGGCACGTTGTGGACGGGGGCAGCAGAGAAATGTATTTAAAGCACCTAAAAAAAAAAATCTTTATCAGTTTAAGGGGATGCGATGTGTTAGAATATTCTGACCGCTTTACCTTGGTGGGATGCGTTGTTTCTCCCTGTTTTCAGTCTTTTTGCTAAGCTAAGCTAGCTGTCTCCTGGCTCAAACTTGACATTTGGACAGTTGTCAGAGGGGTCTATAATATTCTCATTTAACCCCTGGCGAATACATTTGTTTCCCAAATTGTCAAGCTGCTTATTTTAAACATAGACAGATTTCATAATTCATATTCACACTTGCACCCGGCTTTAGACTCTGCAAGATGAGAAAGGATACTGGGGGGTGCTTGGAGGTTATTTGATCTCTGTGAATTAAACAGAAAATGCATTCAGGTTTAAAGCAGAGAGTTTATAGAGTTTTTATTTACTTCTAATGTTTCTTTTAACAGGTCAGGTGAATAAATGTGCAGACAGTCTGAGACAGAGTCTAAATTTTACATTAGTGCTTCCTTTTCACAGGGCTTCACCACCGCTGTATCGCTCAGCACTGTAATACATTTTTATTGACACAATGAAGTGTATGAAAACAAAAAGGTAGTTTGAAATGGGACTGTTGAACACAGTTTGCTGTAAATATAGTTCATATTTTCCTGCCTTTATCCACACGGAGTCACTTGACCTCGATGACCAAAACTCACTTTGAGTCTTTAGACCTTTATAGCAATTTAAGTATGTATGTGCCTACAGTATCTGCTCCCTTTCAGACTGAGAGAAAGACTTCTGCCTGGCTGTATCTTTGTGTGCCTGCTTTCATCAAACTTACAGAGAGTGAGACAGAGTTGGAGCTCCCTTTGAGGAAAGACTGTTAAATAATGCAGGTGGTTAAGTAAGCTTGTCGGGACGAATTGTAAAAAAGCCCCTGCTTCACTGAGCCAGAGCCTGTTAGAGAGAGAAAAGGGGGGAAACTACGTGACTTTCAGCCCTCCAGAGTCCTGTTCACACACACATGGGTCGAATACAGAACGTGGCGAGGAAAATGTGTGCATGTGTGTGTGTGATGAGGAAGCCAGACAGGCTGAAGTCCCTGTGTGCTCTCCCGCTGCAATCATGTCCTCACGCTGGTGGTTTATAGATCAGTCTGACACAAAGCTTCCATTGGTTTTTCCTCCTTATGATGACCTCTCTCAGAGCTAATAAAGTTGCATTTATTGACCTATACTGTCACTTTGAATTCAGGACAACGGAGAAGGAAGAGGACAGGCTTGTTAGACAGTATAAGACATGTTGTAACATCATCGTCTGGAAATGGAGAGTACAAATGACTGTCTAGGTCCAGAGCTGAAGATGTGACCAGCATCAGATACTGACTCAAAAAAGCAGTCATCTCAACTGTAAGGGCTTCCCATGACTGGATAGTACAGGGCTGCCCCCTGCTGCTGGTAAAAACACACTGCACCGTGGTATTCAGGTCCTTTATTAAGGTAAAAGTACTAATACCACAACCTCAAAATACTCCAGTGTGTACAATATAAGAGATGGAATATAATATACATAGGTATGTTTTCAATAATCAAATCATTGTGTTTTTCTTACCTTAGAATGACCCGTTTTTATCCACAGATGCTGCTGATCGCCTTCCATGGAGTCCGCCATGTTGAACCACCATGTTTCAACAGTAGCCCAGAACAAAAAAAACAAACACTGGCTGTAGATAGGGCCTTCTGCACTTTTTTTCGGCCCCTGTAGTTTGTCCTACACACTTACCAACCAGTCCTCATTCCCAGGTTGGCAAATACAGATGTGAGCAATGTTCAGTTAGGCACAAAGAAACGCTTTTGGACTTTAATCTTAGTTTGAGACCAAGAACCATAACCTTAACCCTAATCTCAAAGAGGCAAAATTATTACGTATCTAACAAAAGACAGCAACTAAGATGAAACCGTGTGAGAATTTTAGAGGGGAAATGTCTCTGGTGGAACTGTTAACTCACAAACGAAGCATGTAGTTATGGCTCCTTCTCATGTTTCTAATGTGTAACGAGTCACAAGCCAAAAAGGTCGGGGACCACTGGTTTAATCTCGGGGAGCTGTGTTAAAATTGAATTTTACAAACCTATATGTTTATTAATGTAAAATTAAATCTAAAAACTAACAAGTATATGCCTTAGAAATGTATTGGATGAGAAGTAAAAAAGTAAAAGATTGGAAAAACTCAAAGCACAAGTAGGTCAAAATTGTACTTGTACTCTAAATAAATGAATATAAACATTTGTGAAGTTGAAATGAGCATATTCAGAAACTCATTGTGAAACAGTACACAGTAATATGTATTAACTGTGACTAAAGGGTGGAGACAGAAGGAAAAATAGGATCCAAAGAAATGCATCAAACAGCAAATAGTTTTTGAAGATGTTTGCAGTAAAAAAAAAAAAAAAAACATGACAGGGAGGCCTACTCCATCTCAGTGCATGGGTTCACTTTGACTAAAATAACCTGAATTCGTACAACTGAAAGTCAAACCATTCTAACAATAGACGAGAAACTCTCACAAATAGGTTAGCCTAGTAGCTGCTTTGGAGCTTTCAATCATATTACGTGATATATTACTGACTTTGCATTGGCTTCCTCTTTTTCTGAATACCTGAATGGTTAGTAGGACCTCCATCAAAGGTCATCAAACCTACAGCATTACATTTACCAATTATTAAAAGATGTATAATGAGACAGTCTTTCCTCATTAAATCTGCATATAAAGGTTCAATATGAAACCTCAGTAACTTCCTTCAAGAAAAGCCTTAAGTTGTTTCTTGTTGCCTTGCTTATATTCCATTGCAATATTCCATTTACTAATGTTTTATTGCATTTTAAATTGTTTGTTTGAGACCTTTAGTTTCTTTTTAATGCAATCTTATGTAAAGTACTTTGAGGTGCAGCTCATGTATGAAAGGTGCTATACAAATTGTTTTGTTATTGTCTTCATTTGCAGATAGTTTGCCAGTTATCATGGAATTGCTGATGATCATAAGTCCAGTTATTTAGTGACTTTGGAAACAGCTACTATATTGACCTTGTGGTAAAACTGTCAAGAATGACCATTGAATCTTAGTTCCATCTTCCCTATTCAACACCCAGTATGTGAATGTAGTACAGAAAGAGTAGATTTCTTATTCATGAATATATTTTAATTCTGTATGCTGCTGGTAGATTATAAAAGGTACATGAAATGGCCGTAATGGAATCTGATGACCTTGAACACATCGGGGCGTCTGTCAAGAGAACGCCGTTATACTGCAGTGGGCGAGTAACGTCTGTAACAACATGTCTTGAATGAGACGCTGCCATAGCTACAAGGAGTTCATATAAATACAACAAGTAGATTAATTTTCAGATTTTAGACATAAAACAATCTTCAGTTCACATCCGAGGTGGTGGAGGGACAAATCCTTACATCAATTAAGTTTCCAAGCTTAAAGATATAGTGTGGCTGATTGTCCTGCTGTTATTAAGGCCTGTTGTTACGGTCTGAATTAAATCCAACTAGTCTTCATCCATAAAAAAATAATTATACAACTATAAATTATAACTAAACACATATCCAAAACACTGATTATGGTGCCAAAACTACTTAGACACATTTAAGCAAACAAAGGACAACAAATGCTGACATAAGATGAACTTGGTGAACTTAAGTTTGTAAGACTGTTTGCAGTGTAATAAAATGATACTATTGCTTTGGTGTGTTTCCACAAAGAAGAGAAGAATTGTCCATGTGAAGAGTGCAACAACAAGGTGAAGAGAGGCCAAACGTTATCTCACAGTTCTGCACTTATTCCCTTATGGACTTACTGTAGCCTCATCTTAAATACACAGTGATACCTTGTTATTTTACAGGAAGACACTAAGACATCCCTCCTCTCCTTAGTTGTTGTCTCTCTCTGCTGTGTTGTGGTGGTCAGAAGCCGAAGATATCGTCCCCAAACGGGCTGAGACCGCTGGGAGTGTTTCCGTTGGTCCTGTCCCAGTCAGGTTCAATGAGCCAGTCCTGGGGCGTCACCCCAATGTCCAAGACCTGGGGGTTAGTACGCGACACTGCCAGGCTGAAACAGACGAGAAAAAGATGAATGGGTGATTGGAAAAAAAGAGAACTCATAAGAGTTCTGTTCCAGTTTAAACAATGTTAAAAACTGATGAAAGTAGAAGGCTTGCATTATATAGTTTTCTATTTGTCACCAAATCCCATTGATAGACTGAAACTAACACTTTACTAAGATCGGTAACCCTGTTTGTGCCACCCAAAGTCAATCAGCTCCTGCTGAAATCGTTACACATTTACAACACAAATAGGAGTGAAGAGTGCATTTTTGGGCGACTAGTTTTAGCCACAGACCGACTTTTGGTGTGCTAGTTGAGTATTTAGGATTTAATTATGACGGTTTATATGTTAAATACACGTGTAGAGAAATACAATGTGGCGTTCTGCTAAGGCAATGCTAAAAGACAAGTATGAAACATAAGGATTACAAAAAAAAGACATAAAAAAGGTATAAAACTTCTAAATACAAAATGATAGATATATGTAAAAAGGAAAAATTCCATATGACAGAAGTGCAGATTTGCAATGTGTAGAGTAGTGCAGTGGAACATAATGTACTGGACAAGGATATATAAAAATGTCAGAGTTCATCACCCTGATGGCCGGAGGCAAGAAGCTTTTTCTGAGTCTCTCTGCGATGGCGTTTTCCAGAGCACAGAAACTGAAATAATCTATTGCAGTGGTGGTGAGGATCCTTCATAATTCTACTTGCTCCTGTTCAGCACCTCACTCATGCTTTTATTTCTAGTTGTTTCCGAAAAGTCCATACAAACACTACAGCTAGTTCGTTTACAACAGCAGGACGATGTGTGAGGAATTGACTCAAAATAAACTACTGTGCCACAGAGAAATATGATCAGTTATACACGGGTAATACTTGTTAGTAAGATCAATTCATTGTTCATTTTAGTCTTTTCTAGGATTTGTTGACAAAAAGAAAAATATAGAATATCACAGTCGTATCCTTAATGACAACAGAATTAATAAAGTTATGACATAATCAAGATTTTAAACTTGCCAAAATGGTGTGAGATGAAGTAAATCTAAACATCCTCTAGAGAACGTGTGAAATGTAAAATGTTCTGCACAGAAACCTAAGACTGAGACTTATTAAGACAAAGTATCATTTTTGCCAACGAGGGTCATAATGAAGGGGCCTGGGATAATGATGAACATAATAGAAATATTTCCCAGAGTACGAGCTGCACGGGAGGCGGGTGGCGTCTTCTTGGCTGAGTTAAAGTGGTATCAAATAATCAAATTACTCAATAAATAGAAATAATATGCTTTTTTCAATTAGTAACATAAGTACCTGATGTCTTAATATTACCTACTTCTTCTCTTACCCCAGTGCTTTTTTCTGGACTTTAGTAATAAGATCACTTAGCTTAAGGTATGTGTTGCTCCTTAGCTTTTCCCTTTAAAGTCTGGCTCAAATAGTGATTTTAATACTTCCTCCACAGCAGTCTGAGCCTCCCAGACCTGTCTGTATGACTAAAGCTTCAGTCTCTCCTAATTAAGATCCCTCAGTTTGGCTGCGAACTGCCTTTTGTCTCTGGGATAATAATATACACAAAGTCCGGGCAGAGGTCAACAGGATTACTTCAAGACATTCAATTCATTTGAGTCGTGGGATAAATGGGTTGACGTGACCCATTGCTCCACTTTTACACCGGTGACCACTAACTGAATAACCACACAAAAAAGCGCTTGGCGTAGTGGAGACACATTATTCCCTCTGATTCACTCCATTCATAGAAAGACAACTAAGACTATAAAGAAAGAGCCATGGGGGGGGGGACCCAAAACAATTTCTAGTGATGTTGGGATGGGAAGGGACGAGGACATTTTTCACTTTGACTGAAACTCAATACTTTGAATCAGCTTTCTTTTCCGAAACCCAGTCGACAATCTTTTCCATCTGGGAGGAAATGGAGGACACAGGAAGCTGTTTCACACCAACATTACTGACCTGTAAACAGTGGTATTGGGTTTGGAGGTGATTGAATGGAATGGATTATGGTTAGGTTAGTAATTAGGACTACTACACTAAAGTAAGGCTTCTAACAGTTGACAGTAGTACTCAACTTTACCTGGAAATGAACCATAGCTATCCAGAGCACAGCTGGAGACACAAACACACAGTAAATTGAGGACAGATAAAGGTTTAGCTATCAAATTATTTCTTAGTTATTGTGTAATTTCTCTACATTTATCCCTTCATTTCCTCACTATCTATACAATCAGGGACTGGAGGATTTGTGTTCTGCAGTACACAGAAATCATCAGTGAGTGGCGCTGTAATGCCAAGCAGTATGAGAATGAACTACAGTATACTGAAGGATTTGAAAAGGCAGAGTTTGGTGGTGGGGTATTTTATCTTAACAAGCAGCAGAGAAAATCAACTAGGATTAATTTCACTTTTTCTGCTTTCTCTTTCTCACTATTAAAGGTAAATATCTCACCTGGAGAAGGCATCATCCAAACCATCTTCTATTTCCTGGAGGAAGAAGAAGAATCTTTGCTTAATTCACCCAGTTCATACGTATGCAGTCTGGAGCAAACAAGTTACTTCATATAACTGCATGTAAGACTGTATGTATGACCTATTAAGACTATTTTAAGTTTTAAGCTTGTCCATAGATATATAGAACCAGAGGAGGATCTTACCCAGGCAGGGTTATTGTTGGCCTCAGATGGCCTGTGGTTATCCAACTGATCCTCCTCTACATTCCCATTGGTCTCCACCGCCACGTTCCCACTGTCCTCAAAGTCCAATAGGTTGTCTGTGGCAACATCTACTTGAGAGGAGAAGAAAAGGACAACTCATTTATGTTGTAGTATACACAGGTAATCAGTCTACAGAATGACAAAAAGTCTATAGCCATGCCAGTTAGCTGTCCTATAAGACAACTAGCTGGCATGGCTTTAACACTAGTGGAGCAAAATGTTTAAAAATTGGCTCATGGGAAGAAAGGCTTCTACCAAAAATCCTTCATTTTTCTAGCAGGTGGGATAAGATAATAATGACAATGGCATGGCAAACTTTTATTATTTCTTTCTTTTCTGCAGTCATGGTATTTTATACGTAGAAGTGGAAGGTGGCTATTGGCTTTGGGTCTGTATTTGTGATAATTTCCTGTTATTTAAGGTATTTTATTGCCATATTATAAAGAACTAAGACAGACATGTTGGCAAATATCTCTGTGTTTGATGGTTGTGTGTGTGTTACATGTGTGGACGCTGGCATTCAAAAGAAAAAAAACATATAAAAAGATATGTGTACACATCGATTTTTGTGTACACATATCTAGTATTTTGTGTATGTGTTTTTACCGGTTCCCTTCAGGCTCCCCAAGCTGTTAGATCTCTCTGAATGGGAACTGCTGCTGGCATCTCCAGCTGAACCAGACTTCACTCTTTTTCCTTTCTCTAGAATGGAGAGGAGATGTACAAAGACATAACACAATTATGTCAAAAGCTATTTACTGCAACCTTACAACTGATATCTACGTCCTTGGAGCATCAAGGCAGATTCAGTACGAACACAAGCACACTGATAAAACAACTCCTTGAGATGGTCTGTGTGTCATTTCCAGAACTTGGAGGGTGAAGAGTGCAGCGCCTACCTTCTTTGGCTACTTGCCAGAGCTCAAATGCTACTGTGAAAGCCTGGGCTACTGTCAACGCCACTGCCTGAGCCTGGAGAACAGAAGAAAATACACTTTGTTACAGAGCACAGTTGAAAAAGAGTGCATTAGTGTTTACCAACCCCAGTGACACTCGGATAAGACCAATGATAGGCATGATGAAAGACTGAAGAGCTGCTATCGCAGAGGACAGAAGGAGGTCATCACCACTGTCTTCGTAACCATGATGAGACAGAAGCGAGTATTAAGGAAGTAGGGTATTATCATGCTATCCTGGGAGAACAGGGGATGAGTGTGGAAGCAGGTAAGATGAGAGGAAAAGTGCCCTTCTGTTTTTCAACACACAGGAGCACAGGAGGATGACAGACGCCTTGAGGGGCTTGCCTTCTAGGGTTTCCTCTTAAGAACGGGGGATGAGTAGAAAGGAGAGCTACAGAAGAGAAAGACTGAAAAAGAGCAGGATGAACGGTGTCTATTCCAAAAAGTCAAAACTCACTGCACTGGATTTTAATCCAGCTTCATCTTAAATTAAACATAAAACGCTGAGACTGTAGACCAACAACTCACCACTTTCCTCTTAGAGCAGAGGTAGGCGTGGCACTCCAGGGTCCCATTGAGGGTGTTTTGAGCGATATAAGCAAACACTTTATCATGCAGTTTGTCCACTGTGCAGTAGGATATTCTGCAGACCAGAGGTGACAGGTTAGAGAAACAGCACATGAAGAAGTCAAGGAGAGTTCACAGGGTGAGCCCCATGCCACATCAACAACAGCTTCAGAAGAGCAACAGCACATTTATCTTGGACATTTATCCGCCAAACGTCTGCTGCTCTGCACATACCTGTATATGGAGACATTTTCCAGGATTTTATTGGTCAAGCTGTCGCACAGGACGATTCCCTGAGGGGACACCTTGAGAGCAACTTTCTGCGGCTTCTTCCCACTGGCTTTAGCCTGTACAGATACAATTATTAAAAGAGAAGTTTGTTTTACAGTTAGTGTGTCAAACTATGGGATCAATTACACACAAAGAGTGGCTTCAAAATTATTTAGACCAGTGTGTAGGATTTAGTGGCATCTACCAGTGCAGATCACCTCTTCCTTCCAAGCGCAAGGGAGAAACCACAGTGAGTGTGAAATGAGCGAAAAACATTTAAGGCCCTATATCTAGTGCCAGTGTGGTTTTTCTGTTCTGAGCTACTGTAGAAACATTGTGGTTCAGTGTGGCAGACTCCATGGAAGGCAACCTATGGCATCTGAACCTCAAAATCAGATCCGTGTGGAGTGATCACAAGATTCTGTTAAGCTCTTACAGGGTTCCCACTCTTAAAAGAAATCCTTCTCCAGGATATTTTCCACAAGTTTTTCTTGACCATACAGGACAGCACTTACTCAAAATGGTGGTCAGCTTCTATGGGACACACTTTAGTGGCACACTTGGCTGTTCGGTGTCAGCAGAGCATAAATAACATTTGAAATCGAGTAGAATTTATTTTACTTTAAAGAAAATGTATCTTCTCACCTATTAGCCTATTAAAAGATGAGGTAGAAAGCGTATGACGCATGTAGTCAACCACAACAACAAATGTAAATGTGATCATTAATAACTGGCTGTAGAGCGTAGATATGATTGTTCAGCATTTCCAAAATATACTTGAAATGAAAAAAGGAGCATTTCTGCTTTGTGACCAATATGGATGGGAATGTACATTAATTCAAACTAAGAAATGACATGATCCTTTGTGATTTGGGAAATTCCACAAACCCTCGGCTTATTTAACATTTGAAAACCCACTGGATGAGCTTTGAATGTGATTAGGGGGATTAATATAAGCTGTTCTGGAAAAGTATGGATGTTGTAGAGACACAGTCCTCCAACAATGGCACTGTTTTATGTGTGAAACAAATGCATGTAGATTTACAGATAAATTAACATGTACAGATAGTTAAAGTAGCAGTAATCCTGTTGACTGTATGACATCCTGAATGACACCATCATTGTTACTCCAGCTCTCACCGTGGCAACAATCCTCTTTACTGCAGCGGCCGACAGCTCCTCTCCCTTGGGCTGGTCCACTAGTGTCATGCCCAGGTGACGGAGGTTAAACGTCATGCCCTCCAAGATGGTCTCCCGTGTGTCAGTCCAGTTCTCCGGAAGCTCTACAGAGAAAAACACATTTTCAAGGAAAAAGTGGGTCAACACATTGATCAACAGTAAACTGTTCTGATAATCACGTTCTTGTTGTACCCGTTCGTCAAATTAAAAGACATGAAACATTTGTGGGTTATTTGCTGCTTTTCCCCTTCCATTTCATGTTCCAAAATAAATAACATTACTCGTGAGAACATTCAAAGAGCTTGAGAAAAACACAAATCAGAGGAAGTGTAAACAGCCCATGTTGAACTTAAAGTTGAGCCATTTCATCTGCTCGCTCCCTGAAGTGGAAAGGCAAAACAGGATATCTAGGTCAGAGGTACTGTCGATGTAAAGTAAATATTTCAACTCAAAAAACAACTTATAGGGCCTGACAATAAAAAGGAAAAGCAGTTAGAAGCAAGTATACATGGCCTCTGACACACTGTGATAAGAGAAAAGTGTGGTTTCCCCTTTCTGAAAAGAACATAACAGATCTCCCCCAAACTAGGCCATCGATGTGTCTCTAAAAAGTGCATTACTGTCTCAAGTTGTGTTAACTTTCAAAGAGTTCAAAGGTGAGCACGCTGATCTGTTCGCTGAAAAGGAACGAGGAGTGTAAAAACTGTAACTGCTGAAGGAACAGCTGCTATCTCCATGTGGTTTCTTATCAGTTTTTGTGTGGTGCCGGCTGGCCCTGACCCTCTGCCTGTGTTTACACTGATTTCCTCTGAGTAAGAAAAGGAGGGGAGCGGGGTAAGAGAAGGCAAAAGCAGAAAAACATCCCCATTACCTAGAAATTCATCCTGCTAGCATTCACCTCCTCTGGGATGTAGGGCATACCACATACTCATGCAGACACATGTTCACACACACGTGCATGCACACTGTAAACGAAGGAGGACTGCAGCTGAAAGACGATGTGTTGTACTGAAAATATGACTGAATAATTTAATTTCATGCCAAAAACTTTGCCAACAAAATGAAACAGCATTTAGAGCCCTATGTGTAAACCTTCCATTGAAAATAGTTTTTTAAAAAAAAAGATTAAAAATTTGTTTTTTGGATGCCACTGATTCATATTCTTCATTTTGAATAAATTCTACATAATGTCCTTCTGCACTGTACTGTGAAAGCCTGGAGGAACAGGTACATGTATATTGTTTAGCTTATCTGCCATCTTAGAGTGAGTGGCGTAGTTAGCATGCTAACATTCGGTAACTAGCACTAAACACAAAGTACAAGTGAGGCTGATGGAATTGTCAGCAGTTTGCAGAAACATGAAGGAAAGACAAACAGGAGAAACTTTACTGTGTATGTATGTATGTATGTTGTGTTGTATGTATGTATGTTTTGTATGTTGTTGTTGTATGTTTATTATTATTTTTTATATTTATATTTTTATGACCTGTGCCAAAGTTCCTGAAAGTTCAATAGCAGATACTTAATGTGAACCCACCACTGACCCCCTCTCCACTATACCGCCACACTACTGCACACTGACCTGGACTATTTAAGCCCCTACACCCCAACACATAATTATACTGTCCTACTGATTATATATATATATATATATATATATATATATTATATATATAATGTTTATTTATATATGCGTTTTTACCTGTTCCCAGGGATATATCATTTTAATATATCCCTGTACATATGCACATTACTCTGCACTTTTCTGCTTTTTGCACTTCTGATTAGACGCTTAACTGCATTTCGTTGTCTTTCGTTGTACTTTGTGCAATGACTATAAAGCTGAATCTAATCTAATCTAATCTAATCTAATAGTGCTAGAGGAAAAGTCAGGGGATCACTAAAGCTGTTACGCCTCATCCTCTGGGGACCATGAAGGTCTGTGCAAAATTTCCTCACAATTCATCCTGTAGTTGAGATATTTCAGTCTCACCACATATAACATGTTCTTCTGTGCTCTTCTTCTGTAAAAAGCTTAAGCCTTGTTTTTCACGGTCGACATACCAAAAAATGCAACACTCCTCATGCCACAAGACGTAAAGTTACAAATTCGCATGATGAGAGTGGTAGAACCAGGGATTGTTTGAGGCAATCTGCGGTAATGTTTTCGGCTCTGTAATGTCTGCATACTGGCTTTCATTGTGGCTGTAACTGGTGATTTGGCAAAGCACTTGTTGCTGTGAAGAAAGAATGATTGATATTTCCTGCCAACACCACAGACAAAGACACAAACAAGTTTTCGCATAATACAGGTTTTTGCCTGGGTTTTGGACCCTAAAGCTGACAATTGCAGAGATTTTGTTTTTAAGTTGAACCACCGTCCATTACACAATTCCAAAAATGACTGAGTATTCACGGTCGATGTCTCTCAAACAGCAGAAAACATCATGGAACAACAAAAGTTTCCATTTAAACCCAAAAGAAAATCATTCTTTTAACAGCTCTTTTAAGTCGTTTGTGGAGCAGATTTAATTGCGGGTCTTACAGCCTGGTCATTACAAACCTTGTCACACTATTCTGGAGTAACTGTGTGGGGTCAAAGCCATCATAATGGAGAAGGACAGCAGTGAATGGTCCTATTTTTTTTTAAATAAAATGCCAGCACAGTTTTCAGTGTTGAGAGAAGCTGCTGTTACATGCACACTTTTATTTGATTCTGATTGAAATCATTTTGATTGAACTTTCCGGGTCAACTGTTTACATGGGATGTGATCTGATACGGCCTGGTGATCGCATGCGCCGATGCATTTGATGCATCTGTCTTCCTCAGTGGCTACTAACCCATTCAGAAAGAAATGCATGTGTTTGATCAAATTTGTTCGCTTCAGTATATACCGGCTTTGTTAATTTTTTCATGGACTTGTTTAAATAGGTTGTTACTTATTTTCTGACTTTCTAGCTGCCCAATAATGTTCAGTTCTTCAAGGGTTTGTATCAAAAACAAACTCTCCGCAGGAGGTCCAGTTAAGTTTGGAAGCTTCCATTTTCTGGAAGTGGAGAAACGTACATCCCCACGCATTTACATCAAGACGGAGGGCATGTGCAGAAAGTATGCAGCCAGAAAGCAAGTTGTTTACATGGTACCATCTTTCTTTTGATCGGGCTATGAAAAGGAAATTATTCCTCTGGCCTGTTCATTCTGATTGAGGTGTTCATACGGAGCATTTTTACTCTTTTTGGGCTTTTAAACCGCTTATATTTGGGACATTAGGCTCCATGTAAGCACAGCCAAAGTTGAGAGAACAGCTACAGTGCAGGTACCAGGCACCGCTCAGCCAGAGAATGTGGAGGGCTTTGTGATCCGAGGTTAGCAACAGCGATGCTTGAAAGGCAACAGCTGTGTGCACGTGTGAACTGAGACCGAGTGAAACCAGGTGACCCCGCTGTAAATACAGCTCGACCTCACCATCTGTTAGTGTCAAGACATTATTTACTGGGTGTGGAGAAAAAAAAAGTTTTCTGATTCCAGGGTAAGTTGAAGTGTTAAATGACAGAGGGAGATAAAGACAGAAAGAAGTGGAAGTTTAAGAGAAAGATAAAACAATACTACAGTCCTCAGCTCCTTAGTCATCGATCAAATCCAACACTAATGGATGAGTGCAAGAAAAGCCTTTGTTGAACACCGTGACAACAAAACGTGCTGATCCAAAAGGGTCCGACTGACAGGCAATTCACGTCTGGGCTGATTTGTGTGTCTACACCAAACACTGAATCACTGTGGAAACCACCAACTGTGGCCCTACAACTAAGGACCACTCCAAGACTCAGAGACAAATACACTTAAAAAAAAAAAAAAAGCCAACTTCTGCTACCATTTAATTTTTCTTTTCACCTTCACATCCAAATAATCTGTTTTCAAGGAACCCGATTTCATCTGAGTTGAGGTCAGGGTTTCTACTGATGCAGAAAAACAGAAAGACATAAATGATACTGTGTTGGTCTGGAAGTCTCTGAAGATGCAACTTTAAAACAAACATTCAGGGGCATTTAGTTCACTCAACAGGCTGTGGAGTTGATAGGCCAAATAAACAGAGCAGGATTCAAAGAAGACTTTCACTGTTTTCACAGAAGTTACTTGGTTCAATTGAATCTCATTGCTACTAGAGAATTCATATTCATAATATTTTGTATTCTTGAATTTTGAGAAGACCTGCAGGACCCTATAGGTAGACCTTCAGTTTTTGATTCTGGGGAGAGGCAATGCAAAGTTGAATTCAACTGGTTCTAGCAGCCATCAAGGATACCATCTTGTCAGTGGAGTATCTGGCTGAATAGTAGTGTGTGACTGCAACATGCCTGCAGTTGACTGAACACGGTTATCATCTCCACCGTCACGAGAACGACAGTTGGTCTAACTAACTGTTAGTCCACATAGGATGCATGAGCAGTGTGAGACGGCTGCAGCTGGCACGCCTGTGGTGACCACACACAGAGCGTTTCAGCCATATCTTTCTATACTGAGTTTGCCTTTGATACATACACTACAATAAAAGCCCTGTTAACAAATGAATGGATTCTATCCACAGAAATGTGAAAAATATTATATTTTTTTCATTCTACAGATATATACATTGCAAAAGTAGTAAAAAGTGTATATGTTGTTGGTATAATGTCGACTGCAGGCAGTGTGGCTGCTCTAATCTGTTAACATGGCTGCCGAAATAAAACGCAAGAAGCTCCGCCAAGCAGGTAGTGTGGACCGGGCCTAACAGTTGAAAACAGAAGGAGAAAAGGCCTGATGTGTAAGCAGACTCACCACTGAAGCAGTGCCATACTTTGGTGAAATAACTTCTTCATTATGGGGTGGAAATATTCCCATCCTGCCAGTGAGTCGCTATACTGAGCATCACCGTGTGTTGGCACAGTTGCATGCTTCCATTTGACGAGGTCCCCGGGAAAAAGCTTTGCTGCAGACAAGTACCCTCTGGCTGGTCCTCGACACTGGCAGCGTGCCGGTGTGGGTCGTCTAGGGCGACCAAGATGGGGCAATAAGAGCAGAGAAGTGGCCTTTGCCATTTAAAATGGGGCAGCCTCCCTGCGGCTGAATAGGTTTCTCCTCAATGCAAACTTGCTCACAGTGTGCAGATATGTGAAGACGGGTGGTTAAGCCTATAGGGGCCCATTAACGGCAAAATCTGTGTCAAACGCTGGTCCGAGGTTTCTACAACCCTGTGAGTTTTCTGTCCAGTCCGCTGTCAGCTGTAAGTAAGTCCCTGAAAAGATAAAAATGTAGGCTGATGCCGACTTGGTTCCGTAGGCCAGAGTAAGATCTGGAGGTCTGGCATGGGGGATGTGGGTCAGTGCTGGTGAGGAATGTGTGCCCTGCAGCCCAGAGAAGACCTGGTCCGAGCCCAACCAAAGTCAAAACTTTAAAACCTTTTCAATTCATAAAAGCGGTTAAACATTTTGAATTCGCTTCACGTGTTGCTTCATGATAAAAGTGATGGTGCACGTTGTAAAACCTCATTTACCAGTGGTGTGCTGTACATATATTCCAGGAAATTGTCCGTTAGATTACATTTAGAAAGAAAAGGGTTGCCCAGTGTTACCGCACGCACTGATAGCTGTGCAGAAGTAGCTACATCTCATCCATTAATACAGAAATGTGTCTGCATGTAAGAGTGTATCTCAGATTCCTGAGGCATTGTTTTTCCCCCCAGGTGAGCGACTAAGGTTACATAGTAATGGGGGGTATTTATGTAATCCACCCTGTATTTTCTAATGACCATATTTGCTTTCTGATGGGATTTAAAATAGACCAGCTAGAACTCAAGCCAACAGGGGCCGTGCACTGACTCGCAGCATTCCTGACTTATCCTCATGGTTACCGGCAGGGGAGATTTCAGGCAGCCTAAGCCACCCGGTCATTCCCCCAGAACTTTACAGCCAGGATCAAGTGAGATTTAGATTACAAAGTGGCCCTTGAGTCCTACAATGGGCTCCAGAGTGCCTTAAAGGAGGGCTTTTAGGCAAGACACAAAATCACTGTAAGTTCTAGCACTGACCCTGACCTCTGCACTTCCTCTGGTAGTGGGGATGGAAAGAGGACAGTGTCCTGGGAGGTTGGGATCATCCACAAATCCAAAGTACTGCTGTGGCAGAGTAAAACAACAGGCGATAAAGTATTGTACATAGCAAAATCGGTTTAAAATATTATTCTTAGAGCCTTAAAAGCTTTTTCTTAAAAACACGTTTCTTTCATAATAAAGTGTCATTCTTTGTTGTTGCTGTGTTCTGCCTAGTTTCAAAATAACATTTATTTCCGGAAAATTCCGGCATACAACGCATTTCACAATGCCCACTCTCCACAGGATAAAATAGTGTCATTTCCTCCGATAATAGAAACGAAGGAAAATGTCCCTCCTTAAAGTAGCAGTGTTTGTAGTGTCATTTAATGCCTTTGACAAACAAAATGAGACCTGCTCTGGTAACTTCAAAATATGTCAAACTTCATCTTTGTAACTTTGCGCCGACAGGCAACACTGGTGGTCAACATGATAATATTTTGGTACTTTTTCGCTTTTGAAAAAGGAAAAAAAAACCCGCTAAACTTTGGTAAAGTTAGTTTACAAATGTAATGTTACCTCTGCGTCATTGCGGTAAGTTAATTAAGGTAAAATGGCACAGCGGTAAGCAGAAGTCAACTTCGGCACGGTGAAACTGGCAAACGAAGCTAACAGTTAAAAACCTTATTTCTACCATTGTTTCTTACTTCTGTGTCTGCCGGCAGTCCAGGACTGTTTCGCCATACTTGGGCTCCGGATAATAGCTCTCCCAGCCGACTTGAGGGCATCCATATCGGTGTTTTAAAAGCAGAGAGTCGGTGAAGTTTGCTGGTGAGTCCTGAGGAGAAATGTTGTTGACCAGACTGCTGATGGGGAGGATGGACTTGTGGTGCCTTCCAGTGCTGTCAGAAATACCGCTATTTACCAGGTCGGCGCACGTGAACGAGCCCAACAGAGAAGCAATGCTGCATTTGTGTCAAATGGGACATTAGAGAGCGTTAGATTTCAGGTGGTTGTTTTTTTTTAAATTATTATTGTGTATCAGTGTATTAAAGCCAAATACTACTTTTTTGTGGCATAATACTGCTCAGAAAGTAGTGAGCCAAAAGTCTAGAAAATTTTAAAGTTCCCCCTCCACTCAAAAAAATAAATGTTCTTCTTGTTCCTACAGTTTATGTTTGAGCTTCACTGTGCAAAATGATGTGCGTGCGAAGTTTGACACTATATAGATGTTTTCACATTCAGCTGCTGAGAGTGAAGAGTTTCTCTGTGCTCATTAAAAATCAGATTTTTAAAGGGCGGGGCCTACAAGCATGATATGTGACATCACAAATAGTTAGGAAGTCAATTGATGAGAACAGCTATATGTCACTTTCTTGTCTTCAGAACGACCACGTCTCCTTTTGGGTGAAACAAGCTGTAAAAGTGCCTAGTTGTACACAAACAATACAAAAAAGACAGTTTAGAAAGGAAGAAAAGATCTGTGGCTTTAGGCAATCCACAAAGAGGATAAAAGGGTTACTGAGTAAATGAGGTGTGCCGATTGTAACTGTAGATTGAAGAGAATCAGTAAAAAGCCTTAGTGATGATGTAAATAGGTATTATTGTTATTACTGTTACTGACTTTACAGTGAAGTAGGAGACATCTTGTGTCCAGCAGGAAAACACAAGAAATTGAAGAAATTTGCATATTTATAGATTCTGGGATTTTTAATGAGGTAGAAAGAGTAGATGCCTTTTTAATGGTTTTGAGTTATGAAATTATACTTTCAATGCAGGAAAAAACTAATTAGAAACACATTATTGTTCCAAGCAGACTGCTTAGAATGCTATTATTTCAATAGACATGAATGCGTCATAATTGTTGAGATGTGTCACTGTGGTAGATGCAGCCATGAAAGCTAAATCACTAAATTAAAAAAATGAATATTTTGATTAAAATTTTTATTAATGCAGATTTCTATTTTCTTTGAGTTCAGTTTCAGATGTCATCCAAGCCAACAGGCCTTGTGTTGCATTATCTTCCTAGAACTGAGCAGCTTAACAGCTGAAAATATTTACCTACCAGCACATACTGACACACACAACACACACACACCCTGAAAAAAGGCTTATATAGTAGTTTTGTCTGCCTATAGCAACCAAATGCATCTTGGTCCATGATTTTCTTAAGAAATAGGCATTTACAAGGAGTACCTGAAGGCAGCATCAAACCAAAAGGCAACCACATGTTTTTCTGACTGTAACCACTGGTGGAACAAGGAGGTTTGAGGTATAGAATGTCAACAATATTAATGTAGCTGGCTTGCAGGTCTGGGAGGGGACAAGATAAACTCAATGCTTGAAACATGTATGAGCTGTATGGCAATACGTGCAACTTCCACATTATTAGTCTGGCAATTTAGAATTTTTTTTTTACAAAATAAATATAATTTAATTTGTCCTCTGACATTAAGGTTCTATATTTAGACAACCCAAATGATATAGACTACACCGTCACCATCTTGTGGCTGATTCCAGGTAAAAAGTTTGGCCTATTGCTAGTGTGACAAAAAGGAAAACTAGACACACAGATCATGACACGTACACAGACTGAACAGCTTGCGTCGCCACCAGCAAGACTTTCTTTAATAGTGATGGCCAAAGTGAAAAGTGTGACAAATTCACCATCACTTTGGGTAAAGAAAATAAACATAGTGGAACAATGAAAAGATAAAACAAAGCACGTTTTTTTTTTTTTAAAACCTTCTCTTCCTTCTACACAAACTTGTTAAAGCAACTTGAGAACTGAATTCACAACACCAGAGCGATCCACGAAAAATACTTTTTCCAGGTAGGCAACATGACAGCACAACATGGTCAAACGGTTCAGGGGTAACCTTTTCCCAACACAACACATTCACAGAATCCTTCCTGGTAGAAAATATAGGAAATCAACTGAATATGATGGGAAATATCAAGGAGGTGCCACTCAACAAAAGTCTGTAACAAATAAATAAATGAGTGCATAACACCATCAGTCCAACTGACCACCTGCTGCTTCATCATGATCAGTCCAGAACCTTGTAAACACAACACCATTCAAATATGTTCTAATGACAACAAAAATAAAAATAACAGCACTCTTCTGCAAACATTATGCAAGCTACATCGATCAAAGTATGGATGGAAACCAAACATCAACACTTGGCACTTTAGAACTGAAATGAAATAAACAAAGAAAACATTCCTCAGTAAGTTAATGTACATTGTTGTAAACAACTAAATGCCAACTCTAGGGCACGATAATAGACAATCAGTTTGGTTGGTGTTTGGCATACCAAGACTGTGTCACTATGAAATGACATGTCCAGTGTTATGTTTTCCCTTCAAGTGTGTAATATTGTGATCAATTTGTTAGAGAAAAAAAAACCGATTGAATGCATCTGAGGTGACACTTTTTAGCCTTTGAATACTGAATTGAAAGAAATCTTGAATGAAAAGCAGGAGAATCAGAGCGAGAGAGAGAAACGCGGCTTTGAGGCTTGATGCTTTTAGATCCCAGGATTGCAAAGTATGTGGTTTTTGCATCTAAAAAAGACAAACTGCAAGGCACTGTAAAATCTGCAAATAATGGTAACGACCGGTTACCTCGACATCATTAAATCCAGTGTACGATATGGCCTAACAGGTTCTAATTTGGTCCAGAGGGAGAGGAAAGGCGTCTGCAGCAAACAGGTGGACGTTAATATGACATTTTGGCAGTGCCAGGTCGAATCTAGCAGTAGCGTTTTTTTTTTTCCCCCAGGATACAACTACATCTGCTCCATCCACTAACTGATAATCCTGGAGGCTTCGCTTTTCCAGCACTAAGACAACAAATTGTATTGGAATATCTGAAGAACACAGCAAACATATCACCATTTTTTAAGAAGAAATGCACATTGTCATAACTGAACTGAAACATTACAAAACAATCACCGATTTAAGTTAATGGTGATAGCAAAACATGAATAGTTTTACATTCATGTATCTCTCACAGGGCTTTACTTTACAGGTGAGTGTCAGACTCAAATCTGAACTGAAAACATGTCTTCTGCCTTGATGTAAACCATCGTGAAAAGCCAATCGTTTTTTAAATCAAAAGTCTGGGTGTCAGTTCAATATAGAAGAAAATATGTCTGTGGGGTTTTTTTTTTGTTTTACACTGACACCAAAAGAAGACTGACATGAAGCGATGCATGATGGCTCTTCTGTAGACATCTGGCCAACAAACTGTGTGTTCCTTTCTCTGCTTTCAAACAGATCTCACTGTCTAATGGCTAAATCCCAAAACTCAAAAAAAAAAACCCAAAAAACCCCACAACCCCCTCAAAATATAATAGTTCTCATAATAGAACCAAAAAAAGTAGCCAAATACACATATGTATGGAGGGGTTGTGTGCACTGTGTGTGTCTGTGTGTGTGTCATTATGTGGTACGTTAGAGTGCACAAACTGTCAGGGGCTGAAAAACTCAAAAATAACCCAAACCAGAACCGAGAGCTTCGCCAAGATAAAGAAAGAGACAAAGTTCTGTCTGACAAAAGTGTGGGTGTCACAGTCACTTTTTGAGGGGCTGGTAAACTGAGGCATTGGGGTCCAGGGAGGAGGGACTATTGTCCATGAACTTGGAGGAGTAGTGCGGGGTGACGGGGCTGAGGTTGCTGCCATCTGATGAGTAGGACAGGCTGGGCATCACTGCCATCACCTCTGCTATCTTCTGCTTCAGCTCCGCGATTTCCTGCTCCCTCTGGTGGATCTGGCCTGGACGGGACGAAGGAAACAAAGACGTTCATATGACAGGGTTGAGGGCAGAGTAGGGGGACATTTGTTCTGAAGTGCCCTAGAAAATTAAATCCCTGACAGATCTAGGACCACTCTTCCTGTGGAGGGGGGTAAAGCGAGCCCTTCCTACATGTTGGTATAGAGGTGGGCAGAGGAGACTCATTCCACCTGTGCTTTTCCTGCTATGACAGGTCAAAATGTCATTTTCCAGCTGGGTTATCGCCTCAATATTTTGGAAACTGTAGTTCACTGATGCGTTATCACCACCATCAGTGGAGAGTTTTCACAACGCAGCAATCTAATAGAGATTCTCTTGAGCAGCTGCTGTGGTATCAACATTATAAGAGAAACACTAAACATACCACACTATTATTATCTGTTATTGCTAATATTGCATGAAAAGAAAGAGCTGAATTTCCCTTTGCCAATATGTGAAGAGGACTTTGGGAAAATGTGACAAAATCTATAGCTGAGATAAGATGGTGAGTAGTCAATTATAAAGTTTAACAAGATACTCTAATATTCACATTCAGAATTTGAATTCCTGACTTGATTTTACCTGTTGGACACAGGTGCAGGTCTGTTATAGTGTAACAAAATAGTAAATCAAAGAATAGGCAATGGTTCTATCCTTGGGGGGGGAAATCACATAATGTTTCTATGATCTATATTTCGTATTTCCCCTGCTTTTGTTTGGATTTGAAATAAACAAAGTGTGTGTGATCTCTGCTGTGAACAGTGGTGGGTAAAAGTACTGAATAGTAATCACTTGATCCCATGGGGCTTTGGCACAGAGAGCAGCCGAGAACATGGAAGAAAACACTGTAGGTGCCGCGAGCAAGCTATTAAATGGAAACACAAAGAGGGCTGCAGTGGTTGTGGCTTTGTGGTGTGGTGGTAATGGCTATGGGTCATTGATTCCATTTCCAACAGAGAAAAAAATTATGTTTAGACATTAGGCTACAATAGTTTAGAAATAGTTAAGTTTAGAATTGATTTGGTGTCACTTCTGCTTCTTTGTTTCCTGTGGCTATTTTATATTTCTTTCTCTGATTCCCTGATGTTGATGTTGACGAAGGCTTAACCACAGCCAAGCGTCCTTTACCGCCCTCTCATAATCATACAAGGATGGAGGAGCATTTACCTGTCTCTTAGATAATTTATCCCTTGCAAACGAGTGAGTTTTGACAGGCACTCCATTCAAGAGCTTTGCACCACTACTAAATCACTGCATCCCCACAGCCAACAGCTACCTTGTGCTATCTCCAGCTGCCTCTTTGCATCCCCCAGTGCAGAGAAGAGGTCCAGTTTGATCCTGGTCTCAGCACTCAGGCTGTTCTCCAGGTGCTGGGTCTTCTCCTGCATGGCCGACAACGCTGACATCAACACCTCTGTGTCCTTCTCGTTCTCTTTGTACTTCCGCAGCTCCTGTATGTGACAGGATAGGAAAGGCAAATTGAATTGGAAATGAGACATGAAAAATTACAAGCAACTGAATGGTCTTATTTTCAGGAAAAAAGCTTTTACTGTGCTAAATGGCTGATGCACTCAGAAGGCACAGGGGGTCTATTTATTTAATTACATCAATTACATGAACTAAAATGGCATATCATTTCAGTGATTACATTTGTTGATGGTACATTTTCAAGTACTGAAGCAGCATGTTAACTTCAGAGGAGATTAATCCCAGTTACAGTCACAGCATATAGATAATGTATTTTACAGCGTCTTTAATGACCTACCTAGGAAGCACCCAGATACTAACTCAAAGCATTATCTTATCAGAAAATGAGTTCATTCCTCTCACCTGACACTTGCCCTCCAGATCTCTAATCTGCTCCTCCTTAAGTTTCATGTCCATGCTGAGCTTCTTACACTCCGTCTCCAGCTCTCTGATACGACCACGCAGAGAGTCAGTCGACTCCACTCTGTCGGACAAGGGAGAGGAACAGCACTTTTAAGAGAGGAAAAAGGTGACTATGTCCAAGAGTCTACCGAACTTTCACTTCCTGTTCAAATTCAATGTTAATTTTGATGACACAAAGCTGGGCTGGTTACACTAATCTAACCAGTACCTGGTGGCCGCGGCTAATGCTACGGCTCTGGCAGCGGTGGCCTCTTCCATCTTCTTCCTCTTCCTTTCTTCGGCCAGCTGTTTCTCAGCGAGGGCGCGGGCCTCCTGCTCAGCCTTTAGCCGCTTTTCCAGCTGGGAGATGGTCTGCTTATCCTTCTGCTTGGCCTGGACGGCACTGTGGAGCCTAAAGTGTGGATATATTCAGAATATAGTCAACCTGGCTGGATCATGAGATGAACACACTTTGCACTGGCCATGAGATGAGATATGGAGTATTTGGGATGTTTCACCTCTGTGGGATCATATTTTTTATTTTGGTAGGGAGCCTATTAAACTGGTATTTTAATGTGGGAATTGACTGAATGTGGAGGGGGAGAAATATGGTGCTGTTCATGAGACACACACAGGTCATTGATGTATTATAAGATCAGTAAAGTTATTTTTACAGTGAGTGTAGTGGTCTCCGCAGCTGTGAGCATAAATGCTACAGTTTGTGTGGCTTCAGTTAGCAGAGGTACGCAGAGCTTTCCAACATCACAAACCAACTTTCACATATTCTGCTTTTACTTTTTTATAGTATCGCATCTATAACATAATATACTGTAATGTCCATCAAAATACAGCTATTAATAGGACTCAGGCAGGTCTGAAATGTGTTAAAAGAATGTATGACTCTTATAATAATGTCGAACAGGTGTCACTGAATGTATCTGGGACGAAACATCAGTACTGATGTAATTTCTAAATCACATGAGGCTCCCTTGTAATACTAGTCCTGTGCTAATAGGGCTTTAGACAAGATTAAGCTTTTAGAATACTTCTGTAATTGATCACACTCCCATACTAATGCAGCCTCTGCCCTTCTTTCTTTATTTACTTACTTATGTAGTGTCAGATCCTGCCATTCCATTTTTTGATGCAACTTAAATGAAATCATGTGACCTCATCTAAAATTTTAACAACTCTCTCTGCCTAAAAAGCATTCAGATGTGCAACCTTTTTCACAGCCTCTGCCCCTTTTCTGGCAACTCTAACTCAAACTCAGATCCTACAAGAATGGTTGTAAATCACCTCAGTGTCATCAGGGTGTTTTATCAGTGAACGTGAAGGTTAAACCATTTAAATCTAACAGAAAGCAATGTTTGTATACCAAGGCTTAGCCAGAGACCTCTGGAGAAGGAGACAGGTTATGTTGTTACACAACTTACTAGTCACTGATAGAGATAAAGGTCATAGACGCAATACCCATTCAAACCCCCTGTGCTTCAAATACAGTGTATTTCAAATAGTGTATGCAATGTGTATGTGTCTGTCTTCACTTCAGTAGTAAGTATAAGTATAAAATCAGCCTATAAAAGCACTGTTACAAGGTTAATAACTGAACAGAATAGACACATTGTTGTTGTTTCTGTGGCTTGGGTGGTTTTCGAGGAAGTAACGTGCTGTGAATCATAGCTGCGCTGACAATGGTGTTGTCAGCCACCAGTGACAGGAGCTCAACTGGTGATACCTGTCAGGTAATTGAGTATAGTCAGCTGAGTGTTAAAGAAAGATCTGATGTTGAAAAGGTGTTTGACAGGTGAAAGCAGGGTGTTCAGACACTATTCGACAAGCGTTCAAGACTGTCTCCATAAAGGCCGTCCTAGAAATGAAAGCTCTGACACTGACACACAACTTATGCCTCGGATTCAATATGCAAATCAAATTAAATACTGTATGTAAATGAAAAGCACTGTGATTATTTCACATTTTAATAACTTCTATCTGAACAACTGGCCAGAAGCAATAGCCAATTCCAGCTGGCCTATAAAAAGGAAAAATGCAGAGGGGATAAAGATACAGGAAGAGTGAAATAAAATGCTCCACCAGTTCTAGTAAAATGCATTTGTAGAGATCCTGTTCTTGCCACAGGACACACACACAAAAATCTCTAAAACCCAGTACTTGAGACCTGAGACCGCCTCAAAATCTTCATTAATTAACCAGCTACCTAACCTACCTAACACACGGTCAAGGAAATTATATTTATTGCATAACAAGTAGAGTATGGCCGTTGTCAGGGTTTAGGTGAGAATACCATACTCTCATACAACACACTGTACATGCACCCACTTGTTCTGTAGCAGCTCGTTGTCTTGGCGGAGCTGGCCCAGCTCAGAGCGAAGGCTGCGGTCCTGGCTGCTCAGAGAAGAAAGCTGACTCCGCAGCTCTGACTCCAACTGCCTGTTGGCCTGAAGATCTGCCTTCAGACGCTTCACATCCTGCTCCAGCCTTTCAGAGTAGAAAAAGGGAAAAAAAAGGCCACAAGGTCATCAAAAGGCAGTCACAGGAAACCACAACAGCATAGGCAAATGAAGAATGGCTATTTGAAACGTGTGTGTTTCTTACCGTATGAGAGCGTCCGGCTTGCCCAGCTGGTTGTTGGGGATGCAGTTCTCCACTGGGTCCTTCTGGCCCTTCCCTGCCCCCTTCTGCTTCTTCTCATTCTTACTGGTCGAGGAGCCTGGTGGCACGCTGCCATTTGAAGAACTATGATTCCGTGGAGACGAGTTGGAAATGTTACCCCCACCTCCGCTGGCATTTTTGTAGTTCTTTCCCGCCCCCCCCACTTCCTCTTTAGAAGCAGAGTGTGTGTTGGTATCGGCGTGAGTGTGTTCTCCTGCCAGGTCGTTATTCAGTCTCTTTGCCCCAACGTAGTTCTCTATGTACTCTGTCTCCTGTAGTTTGGAGTCCAGTGCGTGTATAATACTGTTGTTATTGATTCCAATCGTGTTTTGTTTTTTGCCCTCACGCTCTTTTCCAGTACTGTCCTTCCCTTTTTCCCGGTACTCCAGTTCTGGCAACTGGACTGTGGTGTTTTTCTTCCCAGGCGGTGCTCCGTTTTGGGATATTACTGAAGGTTCTACCTCTGAGATCCCTTTAGCTAGAGCAGCTGGAAGAGAGCAACAGTAGGCAGAGTTAGAGCAAGAATAAAAACATACTGGACAGAATTAACCAAATTCCAGAGGAAACTGGAAACATATTTGACCATAAACAGAGATTGAATGATGCCATTGTGAGTGATGAAAAACAGAGAAATCACGGACAAATTTCATAAACAGGCTCATGCCAGCAGACTGATACAGGAATACCTCCCTGCTTTCCATTAACTACAGAAAACAGAGTAAAACTATTCGGGTGATTTCACACTGAACTTTTTTGGTGCAATCAACTGAAGTCTGCTGCATTTGCCTGTTTGGTTCAGGTTGTTTCGGCTGGTGTGAAAGCTGGCAGTCGAACTCAAGTGCGGACAAAAGATCCGGGCTGAGACTGCTTAAAAAAAAAAAGACAGGTCAAGGTCTGGATCTATGTTTGTTGTTTGTAAGCAAAGCAGACCAACAACAAAATTATGTGATAGTTAATGCCTGAATTGAAGGAGATAAGCTACTATTAAATTCACTCACTGAACTTTCAAGAAAGCAACCTGTACAAGCAATGCATATTTATCTATGCAATATCATCTAGCAATCACGGTAACAGGTGTGTCATCATGTAAAATAGTGAAAAAAGGACAAAGGAATTAAAACTGGTGTGTGTTGATCCTGTGTCGTACTATTTTCACTTTACAATCTGCATTGTAATGTAGTGAAATGTAGTGTAGCAGACATTCAATAACCACCCCCTCCAATTTTTACCTGTTTGATAAAATGTTATCTTTGAGGTTCAGTTACAGTCTGTACTATTGCTGCTCATAATCAACTATTTCTTTATGAGCTGTGTGTGACAGCAGGGAAGATAAACAGACACATAAGGTTTAGTTAAATGCAACGTGACCTGTTGTCAGTCACTGGAATTTGATTTCCCCTCATGCTGGTCCATGTAGCACTGATGATGCGGGATGACATCACCAAATCTGTCCAATGAATGAGTTACTTCTCAGTCTGTATCATGTTCACTCTTTAGTTCGTGGTTGTGTTGTACTAGGCTGCATTGTATTAAAATGTGTCTCTAATATACTTCCCCTCCTTTTTGTAAATGGGGTGGTAAGAACATAGGAAACACCACTGACAGTGGACGCTGCTGTCATTCTTGTTCCCCGACCATGAGTCCAGACAGTACCATTTCTACTGCTATTTTTGCTTGCTCAGTCTATTGTGTTTGACTTTCCTGATAAGGATTAATAATAAGTAGTGCAACATGTTTTGTGTTGTTTGTATCTGTGTCTTACCCTCCTCCGCCTCCCTCTCCTGTCTCTGCAGCATCTGTTGCTCTGGAGGTAAAGCCTGCTGTAGAAGCTGCATGTAGAATTCATTCTCCTTCTGCACTTCCTTCTGTTTCCTCAGTCGCATCTTGTAGCTAACGTAGCTCTTAAAGCCGAAGCCCAGAGTCACCACTGGGTAGCCGATACTGGTGAAGGTGAAGAGAAGGACAGAGACGGCTTTTGATATAAAGGTATCCTTATATTTTCAGGCAATAAATATTTAAGGATGTCCTATTTTTACCATGACTTTTACTACTTTATAAAAAGGCATTAGACTCTGCTGTGACGTTTACCAGTGAGCTGCAAAGGGTCGACACAGGTCTACATGAAAGTTCTTCAGATCTTTGAACCGTATGGCGGCTTCAATGTACACAAACAGGATCCACAGCGATACAGTGGGTAGACAGACTCCTCTCTCTGCGTGAAAGTAAGAAAACACAGCACAGCAAATCAGCACTCTTGAAGAAACTTGGCAGCTGTGAATTTCTTGTGCATGAGGTGAAAGTGGCTGTTTGGCTGGCAGAGATAAAAACAGCCCACAAAAAACTTGGACTAACCTGTGTGCCAGACGTACTGGACCCATACGTAGGTGCTGGCAGCAAAAAAAAGCCATTGGACGGGGATGAAGAGGAGGCAGATGATGTCTGACGTAAACGCCACACATACAAAGAAGACAGAGAACGCCTAATTGTAGGAGGAGAAAGAGACAGACAGTTAAATATGTCACAACTGTGCAGAAATAAAGTAGTTTCTGTGTGGAAAACATACACATTAATGTAGAGGCAAGTGTTCACATGCATGGTCCCTTTACACTTACACATTGGCGTGTGTGCTGTAAAATACACTCATAACTTAACTGTCTTGCTATTTCCCCATCTACCACCACCATGTTTGACAAGTATACTCCCCCAGCAACCTTTATCCCATTTGTTTCTTTGCTGCACCCACATTCAGTACATAGGTTCTTTCCATTGTGTCAGGGTCATACAAACAGGCTCTTACCAGTCCCTGATATCTGAAGGAGTCGTAGACACTTCGAATGAAAAGCCAGAAGGGCCACAGGTACTCAAACCTGAACTCCAGCACAAAGTCGGCCAGCAGAACTAACACCCACACCACCAGAAACTTCAGGTACAGGAACGTACTGCGGGAGAAGACAAGATAAAGAAATAAAGACAGAGAAAAATGTTAAAAAGAGAGACAACAAAGAGACAAAGAGGGGATACTAAACAACATTTACCACGAATTTAGATGGTGGATGACAAAGCTGTTGGGACATCAGATTTATACAACAAGACTAGTGTTTATACGAACGACATCTCCAGTGTGATTGTACACAATGTTGCCTCAGGTTCCTGCTAGATTTTATGGCCGATAAATGCCAATTCAACAGTGAGCATGAATACAAATCTAGATATTCCCCACAAGTCTAATTATGTTTTTTTCTTTTATAAAAATAACTGAAAAAAGATAAAGGACATCCAAATAAGTGTGAGAGAAGGTAGAGAGACATAGATAAAGATAATATATACTCTGTCATGTCTGGACATGTTCCTTAAAGCACAGCTGGTTTTCTTTTTCTGGCTTGCCATCAACTCACCAATCATCAATCAATCAATCAATCAATCGGTAAATGCGTGCTATTTTTATATTACAGCTCCTTAAATCTTACGTGCGCTTTACGTGTTCCAGTTGGACCTGATTACTCTGGTGGTTATTGTTTCACTGGCGTATTCAACCTCTGCCAGACAAAGCACAGGTGTGAATCCCGCCGTCGGCATCACCCCGGACTTCAAAACGAGCGCCCCTGACATTGCCGCTGTCATCTCAAGCTCGAGCTTGATTTTTCAAAATCATGCTATCTTTATTTTAGCTGAAGAGATTTCCATTGAGCTGAATGTCTTTCAATATATACTTAATGCCCACATAGTCTCGCGGCTACCTTTCATTTTAATTAAGCCAGAAATTTAATTTAAGTACCCAGCCAGGGACAAATCATTTACGAGATGCACACACAAGTAACGTAAGGCCTATAATTTTAACCATACGCTCGCTGGTGTCTTAATTTAGAGCTCTCTGTAGCTAAAAAAAAAAAAAAAAAACCCAAAGCGTGCTTAAATATGAATGTAGCAGAAGCTGGCAGCCCTGTCTTGACATATGCAGAGAGGCGCCATTGTTATACAATAACGTCCCTCCAGCCCCTTTCTGTACCTGCTATATATACCCTCGGTGATTCGGTTCCGTTTTAACGGCCGTCGGAGTTTGCTGCAGTCCGCATTGCGCCGCTTCATCCTCCCCCTGTTGATTCACTTGTGATATCGGTCTGGTAACTGGAACTGGAAATGTCATTCGCTCATCCTAATATTCACACTTCTTCAATTATCCACCATTGTTGTTGTTTTATGCACATGAAACAAAGAAATAAATAAAAACAGTCCTCCGAAGGCCCTCCCCCTTTCACGACACGCTGCGTCTCATTCCTAACGTCCGACGTCATTACGTCGTCCGAGACGTTGGAAACATGGCTGCCCTCTACGAGTCGCGACGTTTCTCTCAGTTTTAAATATTTAATATAACTTTCTGAGCGGTAGGTGTGCTAATAAGAGCTTACAGTGATATTATTTTACTTTGTGCGCTGCCACTTGTTATGTTAAACGCCACTGGTACGTAAAATAAGCCTATATACAGATGGCGTTACATGGTAAAGACTTATCCATGCTGACTCCACGTTTGTTTGTTTAGCCAGGCATTTAACCAGATTGCTCTCAATAGGAATGTATTTAGTCTCAAATGTATTCCGCTGTAGTATCACATTGTAAAAGGTAAAGCAGTTCATATGCTTAAGATTGTATGTTGAGGGGTTTGGGTTGAATAAATGGAGCAGGAGCCACGTCTTTAGTAATGAAAAGAAAGCAATGAAAGACAAAAACTATCTGAAATGTCTGAAAACGCATAGTGTGGATGTAACTTTATATATCATAATGTTTTATTTTCATTTTTTGTTGATTTTGTTATGTTGGATGTTGACAGTGAGAAGTTAATGTTACCAATCTATCTATCTATCTACGGTGGCTCTATGTTTTAACAGATAATATGGACGAGGTAGAGAAAATGGTTCCATCTGCTGAGGAAAAAGAAAAGGAGGAGATCGAGGAGGAGGAAGAAGGAGGAGAGGATGATGCTGGAGGTGAGGAAGATGATGAAGAGCAGGAAGGTGGAGATGATAAGGAAGAAGAAGCAATTCCACAGGCTGCAGATAAAATTGAGAAAACTGTCCCATTGCCTGTTCAGCCCAAAGAGAAAAAGCAGGATGAGGGCCTGAACCTCAACAATGAGGTGGTGAGGATGAGGAAGGAGGTGAAGAGGTTGAGGGCTTTGATCATCAGGAAGCTGACACGCCAAATTGGTGCCCTGAAGAAGAAGAAGGGGAAAGATATGGAAATTGAAAGGAATCAGAGGAGAGCTGCCAGACTGCTGGAGGAGATCCATGCCATGAAGGCCCTCTCACCAGACCTGGTAGGTTTGGTTTGTTTGTTATTTTTTGGAATACATTATCCCTCAGTGTTTCCAGTACAAATTCAAATGCATGAAAAAGTTACTCAAATTGATTGTGCCAATGATAAGCCATTCGGTGAAATGCCTAATTAGATAAACTGTTTTCGCTGTTGCCAGGTAACCAAGACAGCCTTGCAGAAGAAGCTCAACTTCGAACAGGAGTGCAAAAACCCCAAGTCTACTATTTCTGACCGGGCCATAGCGCGCATCGCCACCCACCCTCAGTTCAACAAGAAGATTGAGGACATCAAAGCTGCCGTGAAAGCCTTCAAAGACGAGCGGATGAAGGGTGGGAAGCTGGTAGTGAAGGAAAAAGTGCAAAATAAAGTTGTAACGGTAACTGCGCAGTCACCACCAAGCAAAAAGGGAGAAAGGAAGAGTGAGAAAGAAGAGGAAGACATTACAGTGGAGCAAAAGGAAATTGCAGTCAATGAGGAAGGAGATATTATCCTTAAAGACACTAAAGATGCAACTGTTGCTGAGCCTGAAAAGGGAACAGGGGAAGCAACTCATTCAGCTGATACTACTAAAATACCTGAGTCTAAGAATGTAAGACCACCATCTATAAAAAGTAGTGAAGTTAAGGACATTGTGAAAAATAAACCTCAAAGTAAAGATGCAGAAAAGAAACCCAGTCTTAAGTCTGCACCTGAAGTGCTTCAGAAAAAGAAAGTCGAGGTAGAGAGTGATTTAGATTCATCAGATGATGAAGAGAAAGAGTACTTTGATGACAGCACAGAGGAACGTTTCCATAAGCAGTCCTCCCACTCTGAGGAGAGCGACGATGACGACTTCTTTGTTGGAAAAGTGAGCAAATTCAAGAAGAAGAAGCAGAAAAGTGTAGAAGGGGAGAAGGTGCATGAAGTGAAGGCGGACCCAACAGACCAGGTCCAGAGTAAACTTGATGAGCTTGAGTCCAGGCTGAAGTCTAAAGCGACCTCCCTTCAGTCTGTATTTTGTTCTTCCCTCTCTGCATCTAAGCCTGGTGGGGGCAGAGGTGCAGGCAGAGGGAGAGGTGGGGATAAAGTTAGGGGCCAAGGCAAACCAAGGGGTGGCGGGGGTCTCAATAGAGATTTTAATAAACAATCCAAGTTTCAAAATCAGGAGAAAGGAACAGAAAGATATTCAGGGTCCAAGTACAACAAGTCAGAGTCATCAGAGAAGGGCTTCCCCTCTGTCGGCAGAGGCAGAGGGCGAGGCAGGGGCGATGTGAGGCAAAATGATCGCAGGGGTGGAGGTGTCTTTTCCCATCAGGCACCACAGCAGGCACTGCATCCATCCTGGGAGGCCAGTAAGAAAAGGAAGGAGCAGCAAGGACAAATCCTGGCCTTCCAGGGGAAGAAGATCAAGTTTGACGATGATGACTGAAACTTTTTGTTTATTAACGCTGAATATATGGCAGTGATTGTTTTTATCTGGCACACTATTGAAGGTCATGGTCACTTATTCCGTTTGATGCTCAATCTCAGTATAGTTCAGTGTTGCAACTGTATGTCTGGTAAAAGACCACAACCTTGGAGATTTTTTTGTAAAACATCAATAGAAATATATGTTTTATTATTACTATATGCGATTTAATTCTAAGCAGTGAAATGCATCACCCGAAGCAAGTCATTTAAGTTTACCAGCTAACAACAGTTTGAGGAACTCATTTGTAAGAATATTTTTTTATTTATGTATCAACCTGAACACATTTTTTCTGCTTTGTCCAAAATGGTGTCGGTTCAGTGTTGCAGAGTACACATTCTCTGAAACTGATATATGTTGATACACATGCTTATTGATTATCTTTTGCAGCAAGACCTTAAACCTGTGTTTTGTACCTGTCCCTCACCACTGTATGTGTTTAAACAGTAAAAAGTTTATATTGTAGTTATGCTTTTAATGTTTTTTTGATGTAGTATCTTCATTCCAAGTAAACTTCACTAGATGCATTATAAAATGTAGATCATTAAAAGAGAAATGCTGCACATAAAGTAACATTATTACTTTGCTGTTCATCATCAGCTTTGTAGCCATTGGTCGGCTACAGCTGCGTCACACGGTGTGACAGCCAATAGTAGTTTACATGCAAATCTGGTTTAAAACTATCGCGGGGAATCGGAGTTTGGTTCGTTGAATGTCCTCGTTCTTTATGAGCTCTCGGTCATCTTAATGATATGTATCTGCGTTATAAATGTGGATTTTAAAAAAGATGAAGATGGATACGGCTCGTTTTATAATATACAAGAGGTGAAAAGTGATATGCTGGCAGCCAGCAGTCAATACGGAACAAGATGTGAGACGTGGTCTCCTCGGTCTCGGAGAGGTCTGGCGATATTCACGCTGGGTGTCCCGAGAATAGCCTAACCACGGACCATGAGCTCTCGCCTTGCCTGGGAAAGACCGGTCCTTCGAGCCGACAGACGGTCTTAAGTACGCTACACCCTCCGGTCTCTGAACATCAGGGACACGGCAGAAATACTATCCCGAACGAGTTCAGGTAACTTACATTAAGCTCATTTGTTTCACCAAATCTGTGTGGTGCTGGTTGTACTTCAACAGGACACATAATGCCGATATAAGTTAATTACCAGGAGGCTGCTGGGTAAAACTTAAGCTAATAATTAGCCGGGTAACTGTTTACTTGCACACAACATCACCCATTTAATCTCAATTTACGCCACGAACGACTTTATCATTTAATAACTTTACCTCTTCTGACTTGTCCTTCTCGATAGACTCCTTTGTTCAAAGTATGTCGTATGCTTGGTGACATATATCTTTCTTACCAGTGTGTTTTGTGACATTAGCACCATTGAAAATCTAAATGTAACTTTAGTTAGCTGCGTCAAGCCCCCGCTGGTTAGCGGGGTTGTTAACGGAAGTGATACATTTCTCTTCAGAATAAAGTCACATTGTTATTCAAAGTGAGTTTAACTTAAGCGACTGCTTTTGATTTAATGATCAAAATTGCAGTGTAATGTTAATAATACGGTAGCCATTGTATTAGTGAGCTTGACACATTGACATGATACATTTATGAATTACAGCAATTAAACGAAGCATAATATTTAATGTTGACTTTTTAGGTGGGTGGAGTATGTTTAATTGTGAAAAAAAATAGCTTTTTAAAATAAAATAAAGCAGTGCCAATATGTTACGGACAGATGAGGCTGTATTAATGTCCACTGGTCCGTTGTAGCACTGACCACTATCACTGTGTACTATTATATTTGAGTTTTTTGCTATGGATATAATTATGTCTCGCCTTAATATCCCGACGTTGATAGTAACATTCATGTGAAAAACAAGTATGCGCTAATGACATGCATTTATTTTGAAATTGAATTTCTGACGCTTTGTCTACATTTATGTATTTCCGGTAACTTCACACTTGTGTTACCTTTGGCTGAGGCATCTTACCGCGCCTTGTCCGAGCATACTTTTGCAAACTTTGGTCTTCAAGTGCCGCACACGCTGACAGCGCTCTTTAACAATCGCGCTTCTGTGGGAATACACTGGAAAGGAGGTAATGGGAAACTGTATTGTGTTCATTATTACCAGAAGCGAACTACTGTGCAGGCCTTTGGTGAGCATGGGAGGGGGATGGGGAGAAGTTGCTCCAACTAGCTAAACACACTGGTGAGGGAAGCTAGCTTCTGTCCCAACCCCCAGGTAGTATAACAACTCAATAACCAGCTCCAGAGGACAATATGAAGCTAATATTTCACGTAGAGACGCATTCATGGCTTCTGTTTACATGCAACTCAAGTCACAAGTGAATATAATGGATTCGTGATATGTTTATACTGTATTATTGCCCAAAATGGCTGCCCTGTGTGCCACAGGATTGAATGAGATAACTGGAAACTAAAAGCCTAAGCATGATGTTGTAACAGGAAGTATTTTAAATGTACATGTTGCTTTCTTTCACTCAGGCTAAGAGAAGGCTGGAGCTGGAAGCCGGTGACCCTCAGGACCTCCAGGATGGTGGTGGGGCCGCCAAGAGGCCGGTGGCCTCTCTGTCCCACACTGGAGGAAAAGGTAAGATTTGGTTCTGTAGGCTTATCCAATAGCCCATGTTCCAGTGCTGGGGAAGAGGTGGTACATGCATAACAGCCTGTGTTTCTACGGTTTATGTGTCAAACTGTCATCCTCAAATGAATGGTGACAATTTGCAATGCCTCAAGTGGTGTTGACTGGTTGTCCACACATATTCTCATGGTGGTGACTGAGTTTAATGGGCTGGTCAGCTGGTTTGTCCACAAGCCCAAATTCAGTTCATTTTCTGTATGCACTATCCAGCTCCACGTTACAGGGTTTTTTGGGTTTTTTTGAAGCTTTTGTAGTCTGTTGTAAGTTTTCCAATGTTCCTTTTAGTCTGCTCTGTTTTTCTTGAGAACCTGGTTCTGATCCTCACCTTTCGAAAGGCCCTCCATACACTTCTTTCTTCTTCCTGCTTTGAGAGCCACATTGCCAGGGAAACATTTGTCTCTTTTTGAAGGACTGCTGAACTGTGGATCTGCACTTGATTTTCATAACTTTAGCAAAAGTCTGTCCTCCAAACTGTTTGCTTTTCAATGTCACTTTCACTACTCAATGGACTTAAATACAACAGACTCCAAACTACACTTCCTTTTTTACTTGGAGTATTCAGTTTAAAATGAATTTATGACGGTGAAAAGTGTCTGATGTCATATGGCATTGAACTTTTGAATCAGAATGGTAAAAGTTTGAAGAAATATAATCAAAATAAACACACTACAGAATGACGTATTGAAATGCATGTAGGAATAATTAAAATAATCTTAAGAGGAATCATCACAGATTCCAACTTTCTCAACCCTCACCCATTTTTCCAGCTCCCGCCCCCAACCCCATAGCAAACAAGTCCATGTTCGAGAAGTCGCGCTATGACACTTCGCTCGGTATCTTGACGCAGAGGTTTGCGGAGCTGGTGAGGCGCTCTGCTGATGGGGTGTTGGACCTAAACCTAGTCGCCAAGGAGCTCAATGCCCCTAAGAGACGCGTGTACGACGTCACCAATGTCCTGGAAGGAATCCATCTCATCAAAAAGAAGTCTAAAAACCACGTCGAGTGGTTGTAAGTATGCATGGATGTAACCGGTAGTGTGTGGGGTGCGGAATTTAACTTGTACGGCGCACATCATGACTGACTTAGTGTTGTTGGTATATTGTTATTATCTTTGTTAGCTTTGTAGTGTATGTGTTCTTAAGACTGGCAGTTAACAGCAGATTATATTACCTTTGAAAAATGGTAGCAGGTGATGGAGGATACATGGCATTCTACTTCAGCCTCTAGATCTCAGAGTTAATCCTTGACCGTATTATTTTATGTACAGGTAGCATTACAGTTCTTACTATTTGTCTTATTCTTAATTTACTCACGATCTGTACACGTTTTAATTTACGTTTGAGGTCTTAAGTTAGTTATGGTGTTAATTTCGTATTGTCGCTTGGATGTTTGTGCACAGGGGCGGTCAAGAGAGCCTACACAGTGATCAGGAGCTGAGGGCTCTCATTGAGGAGGAGGAGAAGCTGGACGAGCTGATCAAAAGCTGCACGCGGCAGGTTTACCAGATTTGTGAGAACCATTACAGTCAGAGATATCCTTTGATTGAGATTTCAGCTACATTTTGCACTGCTGATGTGACCCAGATTCAGTTAGGTAAAATGTGGACACCCCAAGCATTATAAAGAATTATTGATAGTGGGTCTAAAGGCCAATCCAAATCGACAGTTTTTTGTTTTGGTGTGGATTGGACGGATTAATGTGTCACTTTGGAGCTTAGTCATTGTGTGTATCGCCAGCTTTACACAAGCACCAGTCCAGGTGTATTCCTTAACCTTGAGGATCACATTTGCCTATTTGACTTACGAGGATGTCCAAAGGATTCCCAGCTTGAAAGAACAGACAGTGATTGTGATTAAAGCCCCTGCAGAGACAAAACTGGAGGTGCCACACCCAGAAGAGGTACATACAATTATTTATCTTTTGTTTGTTATGAAACTCAATATTATGACTTGGAAACCCCCATCAAACCATACAGAGTGGTCATTGCTTTGGTTTAAAGGTGCAACATTGGCTAGAGTGCAGTTATTTTCCTGCTACATCCTCTCTCACACTGTTGTCTCCTGTCTGCTCATATTCCAAGACCATTTAATAAAAGGTCTCTATTGCCCCTGTGCTCAGAGCCTCCAGGTCCACCTCAGCAGCACACAGGGGCCCATTGAGGTGTTCCTCTGCTCTGATGAACCCATCCCTATGGAAGTCACTGATGGCTCTGTGGGCAATGGCAGCCACTTAAACTCATGCTCCAATGGGAATGGCTCTGTGTCCCTGTTGCCTTACTCATCCTTTGTCCAGGTGTCTTCCAAAGGTGAGTCTTCCTCACTGTATTTAGTCCTGGTTCTACATTTTTGGCTCCACTTTACTTTTTAAACGTTGATTGTTGAATCTTTCGTCCCCATTGTCTCCTTATCCTCACTCCCTTTATCTTTCCAGACCATGCTAAACCTAATTCTGGAATCAACAGTATCTCCAACCCGCCGACACAACTCTCATCACCGGCTTCCGTCTCCCCTGTCTCCCCCGGGCCCACCTCCTTGCACCCAGCCTCTGAAGATCAGCAGAGCTTTGTCACACTCACTCCACCTCTGGCCTTCTCTCTTGATGGAGAGGAGTACCTCCTGAGTCTGGCTGAGGATGAGGGCATTACTGACCTCTTCTCCTCTGTTGACCTGGACCACTTGCCCCTGGATATGCCCCTCTGAACAGCCGTTTTTGAAATGCATGAACTTTAGAAGCTGTGGCCATCTTCCCACGAACAAGATATCAAGGGGGTTATAGTAAAAGAACAAACTGCTCATTTGAATGTAATTTTTCGTTTTTATATTTACGTTTTTCCTAACCTGGAGGATGTGACTGGGATTTACTGACACTCAGGTCTGTGGAGGAGGTTGTTTCCCAAAAGCATCACATTGGAGTGTTCTTGCAATAGCTTTGGATATGGAGAGACCAAGTGAGATCTTTTTATGTCTTCCTTATTGTCTTTAGGACATGCACTTTGTTTCAGACCTTTGATCTATTGCATTTCTGTGTTCTTCCTAAGTGTCCTTCTCAAGTCTCAACACAGGACTTATTCTTGACCCTTAATGTCATGACATCCCGTAGTGATGGTCTGGAAAGATGTCATGGGTGACATTTTGTATCATGATTACAAAGGAGCCTTTACAACAAAGCCTGATGATTTAGCACCTATTAGTGTGAAGAGGTGTTGATTAAAAGCATTAAAAATGCAAACAACTGATGTCTTGTGTTGGCTCTGCTACGAGGGATGCACCTACCCAACTGTTTGTTGCCTGATACCAGTTCCAAACCCTAAACTATATGCTCACAGTCCCGGTCGGTGATTTTTTTTTTTTGCAAGTATAAAATCTGTATCTCACCTCACTGTGGAATTCCCTGGGACAATTTGGCCAGGGATTATTGTGGTACTTAAAACTGAGTTGGCAGCCTGCCATGACTGAATGAACTGACATTGGATACACTGAATATTAAACCACTGTAAAATTCCATATCCATTGGTCACTTCAAGACTGATACCTGATCCATTTATTCAGGTCATTATCAGGCCAATATCAACCCCAGTGTATCGTCTCTGTGTGAATCGAGTTTTGGCTTCATAGTTTCCTCTTTAATAGAGTTCCCCAAAGTTTGACCTTTAACCTTTTCGTAAATTGCTTGGTTATTGGAGGTGGTTTGTCTAGTTGTTAATTAGTAGAGATAAATGTAACGTGTAACAACCTGTGTCGGCCGTTGACAGCCTTCTGATTGCAAACATTGCAAACACTGCAAACTTACATCCTCCATGGAGCATCTCAAATGAGTGCAGTAGACTCGGAGCTCCCAGAAGTCAGTATTTATAAAAACTAACTTCTGTGGAGGATAAGATTATCTTTGAATTAATAGCAATGACTTTATTTCTCTAACTCATTTGTTTTTTAATTTTACTCTCAAAACCAAATATGGACAGCATCAGACCATAAATACCAGTCTTATGGTTAAGGATGTCGGCCATTTTTGCTCTTAACAATCCACTACGAGGCAATGAACAACATCTTTTGTTAAAGTTTTTTTGGACCAGTCGGGAGTAACTTAAAACGTAACGTTAAAATGATTACGTAAAGTCCATGAGCATTCTTAAAATTGTGACACTAAGCTAATCTAGACTAAAAACACTCTGTTCAGAGCTTCATGTCCTAGATGTTCCTTTTTTATATTCAATTAGCTGTCAGATTATTCCTTACTTGGTAAACCACTTGTTATACTATACACCAGATTTGTGCTACCCAGAAGACCTTTAGGGCTAAATGGCTTTTATGTGTTGAAGCTCAAAGGGTCAGTTCTAGGTCCAAAGTCAATACTATCAATCGAAGTGAAATGAATGGAGACATGCCTGATTACATGAGCTCATGTTCACCAGTTTAAAATGCATTCTGAAGTAAATCTTTCATTGTTTTTAAACAACTGCCCATATTATACATAAACTATACACTTTACAAATTAATAAAACAGTTCAATTCAGTTTTAATGGCAATAATGAAGTTCAAAGCTTGGTCCGTTTATATTGAAGTTGCAGTTCAAGCCTTTGTGTATTTCCTGAATGCCATGAAGCTAGATTTTCCACTACTCTCACATTGCAGTGTTAATGTAGTATTTTACCATGCTACACTGACCTGAAGATTAAAATACGGAATTATGACTTGTTGATTGAAATACTTCATCAGTCATCATTCACCCCCTCCTCATCTCCTTGAAATACAGATACCCTCTACATTAAGCTCTTTGTTTTCTTCAGTCTACTATTGAGGTCACAGTTGTGAGTTTGATAAGTTAATGTAGCATGATAGAGATAGGGTAGAAGTGTCCTGTGTTAAATTGGGACAAACTGCTATCAAAAATTAGGAAATGACTTACTTGGTCTGGCAAGCAGAGTGGATAATAAATGAATCCTCCAAGCAAAGGAAATGTTTCATTAACTAGCAAATGTTTTATATATTGTATAAGTGGTTCATTTTGTTGGAACTAGTCGATTGATTTACATCCATTGGCATGGAAAAATATTGCCATTACGATGTCATTAGAGTCATTAGAGTAGCTGGAAACATTGTTCAGTTAGTTGTTAAATAAGTCATATCCTAAATGAGGTTTTGATAACAATGGTGACAGGTTCTACATGTTGGAAAAGATGTATTAACATTAACTATATGTTTACCTGCTTATAGCAATGTTAAATTAATTGAAAATGTGATTTCATTTGGGTAATCCAGTGGATTATGATGAATTTATTTCAAGTCAACCGATGATATCTGTGTTCTTTTTTCAGTACAACTTTCCAAATCCACACAAACTGAATCACTGCTCCATGAATGTGTCCCAAAGCGATTGACTTGACCAGATAAAACGTGACTAGAAGAGATGAGAGGTTTTCCTTTTGTTTTAAAACTGCATGCCAAGATGTATCAGCTTGAAGTTTCCTTTGTCACTGGCCTGCTGCATGAAAATAAGTCATCGTGGTCTGTGCTTTCATTTGGGTGTTCATTCAGTCCATCACGCAGTACTAATATAGATGGCGACACTAGGAGGCAGTGTGATCCCACAGAATCCTTGCCGGAATCAGCTGGGATGTTTTTAAGCTATGTGACAAGGTGTTAACCACCTTTCTGGGAATTTAATGAATGTGGCATCAAGTGGAAATGTTGTTCAGATACCTAAACTCAGTCGTACTCTGTTTGGCTGCCATGTCAAAACATGACAAGAGAAGCGTTTTAATGTTCATTAGTGGAGAAAGTTGCAGAAAAACAATTGGCTCTTCAGATTGAACGCACATGAGTAGGGTTTTTGTCTCAGCTACAAAACTTCACATCCTGAGCGAGTATGGCTCCGGCAGGACAAACACTTGCTGACAAGGTCATGTGACAGTTCGTCCTCTCATTTAGGTCTGAACATTTTGAGCATTACTGGTGATGAATTACATTTTAAAATAAAAAATCAGGTCAAACTACTGAATGAAAAATGCTTTTAGAATATAGGTATACAACCTGTTAAACAGCAAAAGAGAAGCCTGTTAGGAAAGTGGTGGGGGCTTAAAACCCAGGTTTGACTGACATCATCGGCTCTGCTGACCTCATTACTATTCCTTTAGGCTCTTTAATGTACATACATATAAAACAAAAGACTGGTGACTAGCTTTGTTAAGTAGGGTGGTGTGTCTAGATAGTTTTGACAAAATTATGTTCAATATATTTATACACATTATAATAAATTTGAATCTGAGTAATGTATTGCCAACAGATAAAAAGTATTGTGACACAACAGAAAACATGAGATCTGCAATAATGATTTTTAGGAGAAGACTGTCCGTTTGGAAGGAACTCATTAGCCCAGATGGCAATTATTGTCTGTTGACAACAATAACAAGTCATAGATGTGATTTTTTTTTTCAAGATGTGTAAAAAAAAAAAAAAAAAGAAAGAAAAAAGGCAGAACTGAATCTCTGATGTGCCATTTCCTGTATACATCCTCATCCACTTCTTTTAAACTTTACTCTCCTGTGCTGAATCCAACTGTCCTTGCTTCTCTTTGTCTGAGCCACAGCATCTGAGAAAAACACATCAGTGCCCTCAACATGATGATGTAATCTGTCGGGAGCCTGCGGCATCCAGACCTGTCTATAGATGGCAGTGTTGTACCTCAAAACCCCAACTAAACCCTGTCAACCCAGTTCCCCACTAACGGTGGCACACACTTTGAGTTCATGGAGAGTCACTGGATCACTGCTATTATTGATTCATGTGTGTTTCTGTTGTTTTTTTGTCCTCTCTGTGCCACAAAGATTTGCACATGGAAAGAACAAAACAAAGTGAATATTGAAATGGTTCATATTGAGCAGGGCCTGATGTAAGTCCCCTCCCATCTCAAGGGCTCCGTTAAAGATCAGTCAATGTACCTGTCAATCAGCCGATCAATTGGTCAATAAAGTTTCATTTTTAGAGTGCTTTTCCCTGTCACCTACAAGCGAATGACGTACAGTGGGAGGACTTTAAAACACTGGACAAAACACACAGATGGCTGGGCTTATAGGGCGAGAAAGGAATAAGTCACCACTTAAGACTCGGTCCCTCAGGGGGTTTAGGAGTGACTCGGAGCAAGTGCAATCCGGTCTGAAAGTGTAGCTTGATAGTCTTGTCCAGCTGTCCCCTTTCCTTAAACTATAGCACTTGTCTCTACGCTGCGTTCTCTTCTGCCAGGCTGTTGTTTTGACTGCTGTAATGCACTGAGGCAGAGAGAGAGAGAGAGAACAAAAATGAGAGAGGGTTAAAGAGGGAGCATGAAAGCAAGAGAGAGAGAGGGAGAGAGTGTACTACTAGGCTCTCATTGGCTACTGAGAGCACGCCGTCTTTTTGCGTAGCGCGCTCCTAGCCAATCGGCTGCCTTAACAATATTTTGGGTTTATGAATGAAATGAATAGTGAGAGAGCAGGACAGGAGTAGTTTGATTCATCACCCGTTGCTCGTGGTGCTGCAGAGTATACCAAAGAGATAGGTGTGCTTGTTTGCAGTGCAGTCCTACTAAGAGGGCCTCTGGATGTGCTGGGGGAGATCAACAGATGACCATAACGTTGCATTTAAAAAGCACGTCCATCTGCCTTTAGTAAAGAAGTCATTTCAGTTTAAACAGCAGATATTTCAGAGCATACCTGTGGCGGGGTGGGGGCTGTACCAGTCAATTTTTGTAAGTTTCTGAAATTGACAATCACACCCACATTAGGGTAGGGGGTTTACATTGAGATTGGCTGGTGTGTGAAGGAGAGAATGCTTGCAGGATTTAAACTTTGCTCTCAACCAAGTGCAATGGGCAGCTTGAATGATTATGAGGAGATCAAAAGTGTTTGCTGTTATCCGCATTTCAACAGTTATTGCATCTCAGCCCTTGCTATAATATCAGGCTTCCGAGTGTGGCTGTTCAGAACAGCTATAAACACTTGCATTCGGACATTGTCGGACAACACGTATGACGTTGGTTCTGTAAAGCATACCTTGGCCTTGGGGCAAATTTGGATCCTCCCTGTTACTCCCCTGGCCTGTTACTCGCCATTGCTACACCTACTGAGGCCTCATTATCATTAGCTGGAAGTTCAAAATGACAGTTCTGGGCAACATCTTGGCCATCTGTGAAGTAGGGAGACTCGGGGGAACTAGAGTTGCTGTTACAGCTTGCAGTTGAATGTGAGCGCCCACGTGGCCAGTGCAGACAGATTGATTGTATTGATTAAACTGAAGTATACCTTTTCCTACAGATGAGCATGAGCCACACTGAAAAATGTGCCTGATGCACACAGAAACTGGGAGATATGGAGCTATGTTAGGAGCTGTGGGGGAGTGTCAGTTGGGCTATACCTGGGAGTGGAGGCTTGTGAGTTTGATGCATTTTTGTATATGTAAAGGGTGTTCAAGCTGAAATTGGGTGTTATGCAAGTTCCTCTTTAGTTGTGAAGGTCAAGACCACATACTATGTAGTTGTGGCAAGCTGGGAACATGCTGTCACAATAGTTCTCCAAAAAGCTTTCTATTTCTCTGTCCTGGGTTGCTAATGAGACTTCACACAGGTCATTCAGGAGACACATTTGTGCCATCGAATCCTGTCCTCCTGTTTTTACTCCAACTGGAGGATTTAATACAAGTGAAGGGTGCAGTACAGCTAATAAGCTATGGTAGCTTCCTCCATGTTGGGCTCTCTGTTCCCTAAAAGGTCAGAGCTGTCAAGATTAATTGATGGATTGGTGGATTGATTGATGATTTGCTGATTTGCAAAGACACAGATTCTCATGTCAAAGTTCAACAAAGTAGAGCTTGACCAGAAAATGAGTGATTCCATTGAAATTAATTTCACAAGTAAATTTCGTCATTGTAAATGATAGTGTGAGCGAGCATCAAGTATAATCGCCATATACATAACAAAGAATCATAAAAAGATTTTCCTTTTTTCTTCAGCATCTTCTCAAAGAATATCTTATTACTCTCACATTCTTTAGAGATAAATGAGTTCAAAAGGCTAGTGTTTGTGGATTTTTCCTGTTTAATACACACAAACAAAGCTTAGTACACTACAAGTTATCTAAGGTGATGTCAACATGGCTCATTCTCATTCTAGCTGAATCACTTCAGGGGGTGGCCTTGAGAGAACTGAAGCCTAGAAACTGAGACTGCTCATCCTCCCCAGGGGAGTTTACGGGGGATTCACTATAACATCACTGCATGTTCCCTCTCCTATAGCCTCATAGAACTGACCAATGTAGAATGAGCTTTGGGTTACTGAAAATCTTCTTGCATGGCGTGCATGGTAGGTCATCCAGTATCCCAAAACTAAAATCTTGTTGTATGCTCAAAGTAAAAGGAAGTGCAATACATTTAAATGTATGCAAAAAAAAGAAACCATAGTTCTTCTAAAATCGTCCATAGCAGAAGCTGCCACTGGTTACTTTCCATCCCTGTTGATGGTTGAGTGAGGATGGAGAAGGATCAATTAACTGCTCTCCGTCTGAAGGGACCCATACTGTGGGTCGATGTATGGACTGAGCATTAGAGAAAGTGATTTTCCTCTGTCACGTAGCCTTCAGGGGCTTGTCTGTACAAAGGTTTGACCTCTTCGCAGGGGGCTTTGGCTTTAGATCCACCCTGTCAAGTGTTAATAGGACTCTGACCAGATTGCCATATTTATATGTGGGCTTTAAAGGGCTCGATCTCAGAAGTGAATATATGAGGCATGGCTCCAGATGATGTAGGAGTTGGCTGGATCACACACAGCTGGGCTTTGGCTTTGGTGAATGTGGAGCGGTTGGAATGTAATGTCTACTTCCCTCTTGTTCTCTGGTTTGAGGTCTGTATTTTTCCTCTCTTGCACCGGGCCACGCGGTGTGGGTGTATAATGCTTCAGCTGTTGTGATGACAGCCTCCTGACCTCTTGTGAACCTCCATCCTTCTCTGCAGTGGGTATTTACTTTCTTTAGTTCCACTTGGATACATCAAATATTTGCATAGACAAAATCAGACGTGAACCCAAACCCATAGGCTCTTACCCTTTAGCCAATAGAGACAAAGACCGTCAGTTGTCATTTGCATGTAATTTGCATTGGATCCCCCCGTGACTGTTTGCAATGTCAGGAGGCCAAATTAACCAGTGTTCCGTTTTAGCCGGATTTGCATCTCATTTGCATCAGAGTTGCTTAACGAGGGTTACTTAGCTGAGTGACCCCTGTGGAAACTCCTTACCTCGTGCGCCGAGGAGGAAGATAGTGCG